CCAGATTAAAACCTGCAAATCAGGAGGAGAAGCCACATCCACTCACATTCACTCCTCACGTCCCCACCACCCACCTCCTTTCTTCCATCTCTTTTCCTTGCCTATTGTTCATTTCCTCATCTAATTTTTCTGAAGTCAGTTCAAGAAAACCCAGTCTCTGATTAATTTCTCCCTCTTGATTTTTGTTTGCATTTCTTGTTTTGTTTTGTTGGATGTTTTAATTAAGCTTATTTGGATTAGATTTTGTTTTGCACTGCGTTTCCTTTGCCGAGAGGAAATGAACTCAAAGGTCGCTGTAACATTACTTGCACATCTGGAGAATGGTTACCCTCTGAGGAAACATGTAAGCCAGATATAAGGTGTGTGGAAAAGGAGTTTGTGCATTATCATTGTCTTGAAAGAAGAAGCAGCTTTTTCAATGTGATTTTTGTTTGGAGAAACCCAGACCAATGCTGTCACAAGTGAGGTCAAAAGGGCCTGTCATTATTCACCAAATTCCTTTGGGGAACAACTTGGACAGCACATTTAGCCATTGCTGAACAATGCTAAGTAAATATAAACAATTACTGTAATATATAATATATTAAAATTGTTTGTATAATGCTCTCCCCAAACTAAAAGTATCCTTGAGTTTAAAAGAAACAATGCCAAGCTTTACTTTTGAAAGTTGTTTTTAAGCCAGGTGATTTTTATTAGCTTATTAGAGAAAGTAAAGCAAACTGGATTTGAGGTACATTGTTCACACAGACAGCAAGTAACAACCTGACATATTCCTTAATCTTGGATTTAGTTGGAGAAACATTGGGATAGCACCTCCCTTCAGCAAAATATAAAGGTTGATAGCAGTGCAATCAAAGTGTCGCAGCAGTCCCATTGGGTAACACACTCTATTGGACTGGCTGTTGGCATATCGGGGACAAGGCGGGAGACGGGCAGTGTGTAATTGGATGAGATAGGCTATCTTTATTGTCAAAACATAAGAATGAAGGGGGGAAAAAGATACAGATTAGCTTTCCTGACAGTCGGCCGTTTGAAGTCGGTGCCAAAGTGCATTAGGGGCTGTTATTCCCTCGGTTGTACGCTCGCAAATACAGAACCACTGACAGGAAAAGGCGAGTCTTGCCCGCTAATCAACTGATAATGGGTCACACTGTCCGTTTGTCGTAGCTGCCCGCCATCCTGCGTGCACACTCACGGCACACTTGCTTCACACAGTCGACTGTTGCAGGCCTTTGTTTCATTAGGTCAGGGTGAATGGCCCTAAATGGCTGTTGAGGACTGTAATATCACAATAGTTAATTATTCAAGCATACACTGTCTGATCTTTACAATGTAAATCATGTTTTTTGGGTCAGGTTTACAAAACAAGGTACGCATCATGCATGACCTTTGACCTGCTTGTCTGGGGCCAGGAAGTCCCACCCTTTTTATTCTATTGTCCACTTCAGAGCAGCATCGCCTCAAACTCAGCCCTCTGGCGTTCGTTTTGAAAGGCCAAATCAAGGCTGAGCAAAGCAGCTTGAACCTGGACTTGGTGTACGCTGATGTCCAGCAATTTGTGTTCTTAAAGGTCTCCTACTATTTTTAGGCATATATTATAGGTCTCGGATATATACAAATATATAAAAAACATGTCTATGAAGTGTTTTGCTCAAAATACCAAACAGATCACCCATTCTAGCCATGCCTCATACCCCTCTATTTCAGGCCTGTTAGAGAACTGCTGATCTGGGTCCCTAGCTAATTGAAAAAAAAAATTGAAAAAAAGAGGGGGAGAGCTTATGCCTGCTCAGAATTCTACCCTAAATGCTGCCGTGATGAAACGCCATATCATGTTCAAAACCACATCAATGATTATTTCTGAAACAGTATGGAGCTCAAATGCTTATTTTCTTGCAGGTTTACTACAAGGTGAGTTCCTTTTTTTATTTCCTGCTTTTCTACACATACTCTCTCCAGTACAGCTTAGCTCTGAGTGTTAGCGATGCTTGCTAATGTAAACAAAGACCATATTACTTCCAAAACACGTCGTGCATTGTTTCTGATAGCGATGTTTCTGATAGGGTTGTGGGTGTAAAGCCATCCCACATTTCTGATATTACGTCATATTGGACGCAAATCTGGATCAGCTCCGTTGTACCCACGTTTTTAGAGATTTGGGTACGGAGGAAAAGGGAGAGGGTTTTGTTTTCTGACACTGTGTGAGTTCCCTGACACACCGGGGACACATATTTATGTATTAAAGAAATCAAAAAGTGCATTTTGCATGATAGGAGACCTTTAAAGGTGAGGTGAGTAACTACAGACACTCAGTTACAATACATTTGCCAAGAATCATCCAGCGTGTGCAGCCACATCAGAATGCACCACCCTGCCTCTTCCTGCACTGATAACATGGTGAGAGATAGTTGGGGCGGTGTAATGTTGGGCAGAGAGAAACGACTTGTGTGTGTGTGTTTAGGAGAGGGGGGTGGTTAGGTGTCAGTTCCTTGACTTTCCCTTTCCTCGGCCTCCATCTGAGGAAGTGAATCCTGCAGAGTGTCTATTCACTGAGAAACAAGACAAGCACTTGAGATGTCAAAGCCAGCATTGTTTCCCAATCTAATTTCTGTTTTAAAATGACTATCCTTTAAAATCCTGATTTACTAATTTTCTCTCCTCTATATTTGCTGATTCCTTTTTCTATTTTAGTGTTCCTGCCAATCACTGATAACCCCGCAGAAGAAGAAAAACCCAGCTTGCAGGTGTGATTTGTATTGACCACGAGCCCAGGTGCATTCAGAGGCGTCCATTTTGAAAGAACAAAGCAGGGTAGGCTAACCCGAGCAGGAAAGATCTCGTTTTCTGTGCTGTGTCTTTGCAGGAAACCCAAGCGTTCCCTGGGCCATGTACTCCCATCCTGAAATAGGGGAGTGAAATGCTGAAAGCCAGAAGGAGGCAGGGGGAGGAAGGAGGATGGGGGCACCAAAATAAAAAACTAATAAGAATGACTTTATTCCCATCTCCAGCCCGCAGATGTTTGCTTCCTTCCTTTCCCTTTCATGTCTGATGAAAATCTCCTCTCCTGTTCGGCTTTGAAGAGAAACATTGGTGCGGGTAATTGTAGTTATGAAAGTGTTTGTTGCTTTTTTTTGATTGAGTCATTCCCTGCATTTGTCATGAAGGCTGATATCTTTCATCTGTGTTGCTTGGGCCAGACTTCAGCATTCTTCCATGTTTATCATAAGGACAGGAAGATGCAGCTTCGCCTTGCCACCCCTCCCTTCAACATCCTGGGATCTTCTGGAAAATGTCCCTAACAAGGATGCCTCTCCATGGTCATAGTGGAGCTTAGTGACCTTTGCTTTTTCATAGATAAAGCTATTTTAAAAGAATACGTTGTCCCCAAAACTATCAATTGTATATCAATGAATCCCCCACTGTGTTACCTTGAATTTCTGAAGAACACTTTGTTATCTCACATGCCTCCAGGGTGAACAAAGAATCCAAAAAGAGGAAAGACTTCTTGATGAATTGAAGTAAAGGGGGCCAGTTCAACATCAGCAAAACAATATCAAACCATCCATTTACAAACTCTCACATAACTTGTGCAGTGTAATCCCATTTTTCACAAAAACATGCATTTTCACTTAAACCTTACCATTAAAAGCTCACCTCATGATAGAGCAGGCTTACTGCTCCTAGGAGTACTGTTTATGTGGAAGACTTGGATTATACTAGTTGTGTGAGATAAACACAATAAACGTTTTTTTGAAAATAAATCTTTATTGTCCACCAGTGTAGAAATGTGTCTTCAGCTCACCAAATAACACAATAAAATCAGACAGAGGGTAAAAAAAAACAGGTCACATTACACGATAAAACATCTCATGTCAATGTCTGTGGCTTTATCACTTTGTTCTGTTAAAAACATCGATGGGATTTGGGATTAAGAACTTTTTAAACATGTCTTACATTTACAGGGACTCTTTAGCACTGATTACAACAATAATTGTGGGTAGTGACATATTCCTTTGAGTGCTGTTTTAGATCACTCACAGTTGAATACATGTACAGGTGTTTTATATTAATCTCTCTGTGCTCATTGGATGAAAGACTGTATTAGTGGGTATTTACTATTGAAGCATATTTAGCATGCAATCACAGCAAACTGAGATATGCACAGACTCAAAACGATGAATAAACATAAGTGCAGCGTTATTGTGAGTGGGCTATAGATTCTTTACAACAAAGTAACTGTAGAGAAACTGACCGTGATGCACTGAGTCAACCTCAAGCGTTCCAGGAAGCTACAGTATGACACACTACGACCTTTTAATCTGCCATTAATTTAAGCTTCCGTATGTGATTACACATGTCAGACCCCTGAGACACCACGATTCCTCTCTTTTCTTCTCCCTCATTGGAATTATCTGAAAACATTTTATGACTCTCCCAGCTATTGTTCGGAGAAAGATAAAAAATAATATGTTGATGTGGACAGCGGGTGTTTCCAGTGGTAGAGGTCTAGGGTTTACAGGGTTCAGGGGGGTCAGGCTGGCTCCCCAAACACAGGAAGGCAGCACCGTAAGTCTCATCCAGGGGTGTCAAGGCTGGACACTTGTTGTGTTCCCTCATAGACCCTCACCTTCAACTGTGTCTATTAATAACATCAGGGACATCACAGTGACCCGTCCACTTATGATGGGTGGGATGAGCTGACAGAAGCAAGGGCATGCTGGTTTTAAATGATTAAATTGTCATGAGTAGTTTTTTGTAACTGTAAATATACTGCATGTTCTAGAAATTATAATGTGTTAAAAATAATTTTGTGTAAATTGGTGAGTATAATCTTGATGTGGAAGAGTACAAAACTATCTTTAACTACCTTTAAATATGAAATATTGTGAGGGAGGGTGGGGGGTCATTGTGTTAACATAAGTAGGCTAATCATATGTCCTTTGTAAGGTTGAATTGGAGGCGTGTGCTGTAGGAGTGGGAGCGCGCAGAGGAAGGGAGGGCAATCTTGTCCGGACGCTAATAAGACCCAATGGCTGGTGCAAGGTGGCCAGGAGCTCTGAGACGCGACACAAGACGGTGGACGAAGGAGAGGAAGAGAGGCAGAAAAAAAAAATCTTGGGAGAAACTTTTCTGGATGGACCGAGAGGATGAGAGCGCCGCGGGAGTGTCTATAGGAACTGCAGGGAGCGGTGCGTGGGGCTTTTAGCGTGCGTCAGTTCGTGTGTCACGTCAAAGGAACTGCTTGGAGCGAGAAGCGGTGAGTGACCAGAAACACCCGAAAAACACCTGCGGCGAGTACGTCAGGCACCTGCCAAGGACGTATGGGGATGTTTGTGGCTTAGAAGCAGCTGATAGTTGGCGATATATTTTGGACAGAAACCTTAAAGATCTAGTGAGTCTACTTAAGTTTGCTGCTGGGGCCAAAGTTCATAAACTCTGCATGTCAGCCAATCAGGACCTTTCTTTGAGCTATGACTTTTGTTCAAACTGTACAAACCTTAAGAAAGTCAGAACAAATATAGTTTTTGACAACTATAAAACTCCTTCTTTCCAAGAGTAATACAGTAAATATAACTTCCTGTTCTTGTTGTCATATCTTCATCAGCTCTAGTACCACATGATTTGGAATGGACCAAGATTTGACCCTCATTCACATCACACACCTGGACCCGGGGTATCACTGTGATCCGCTGACTCCTGGGAGCCCCAACCCTCCCCAATGAAGCAGTCCTGGTTGGCCCGCCTGGCACAGCTCGGCCTGCTCGCTGTGTGGACCTGCATGTGGCTGGTCCAGGGATGCGGACCGGGCCCTGGGTATGGTGTCCGCTCAAGGCCCAGGAGACTCACAGCCATGCACTACAAGCAGTCTTTCCCCAACTTCTCAGAAAACAACCTTGGTGCCAGCGGGAGAGCAGAGGGCAAGATCACACGCAACTCTGAGCGCTTCAATGAACTTGTGTGCAACTACAATCCAGACATCGTCTTCAAAGATGAGGAGAACACCAACGCAGACCGCTTCATGACTAAGGTGAGACTGGTGTGGTTTATCCAGTTCATTTATCTAATGTTTTAAGGATGTTGTTGAATAGGATGATACACTGGTTTGCTTGTTTGTAATAACCCCAAGTGATGCCCATTGACAGTTGTATTGCAAGTACAATAAAATAGGCATCCAAGGCAGAGAGTAACCTGAACTTTTTCAAGCCAACCACTCTTCTGGATGATTGTTTAACTACATTTCATGAAAGGATAGGCAGCAGTTCACGGCTCACACCCTGCCACCCAGAATGGCACCTTATCAAATCATTCATTGTTAGCCATACCTGCTCTTTGCCAGGCTCCTAATACAAACAAATGTTCCACACAGTGTGTAGTTTTAACAAATTACCCCCTCCCTTTTCTTGAGATAAGAAGATCAGGATGTAATTCAACACTACCTCTTAAAGAGACTGCCTTCCCCTTAAGGAACACTTCCTTTTAATCTTTAACCAAAGTCTTTGTTAATGGAAATCAAACTATTTCTATGACAGGTTCTCAGGGCCACTTGAACTTAAATGCCTTAATGTTTACTTGGGACAGGTATCCAAATTCAAATCTCCTACCTAGAAAAGGCTATCTTGGCATAGACTTGCTTTTTGACAAAACATTTGAAATGCCACACTGCTGAATATGACCACAGGGTTTCTAAACACTAAGATGTCGCCCTGGTCTCGATGCTGCGGCTTTCTGTGATTGTTTAAGATACAAATTTGTGTTCCTTCCCCTCCCCGTGTGATTGTATGTGATGGAAATCTGTGGTCGTTTATCTGTGCCCAGTTTGAGTGTGTGTATGTGTGCCTGTGCCCCACTTTTGCCCAGATGTGAAAGACTCTCTTTGTGTGTCATTTGGATACTCTGAGGGGTCGCCTATACAAAATTCCCGCCTGCTGAAGTAACGGCACTGTCGGAAAAGCGGCTATTGTAGTTCTGACAATGAAACGCCTCTCTTCAATGGCATTGCGAGAAAAATGTACCCAGTTTGTTTTCTGTCCCTCTCGCTTTCTCACTCTTGCTGTCACATTCCCATGTCATGCCCATACATTCCTCCCCTCTGCCCTCTCTCTCTTTACTCCCAACATCACCCCGCCGCTACAGCGCTTTCTTCTCACCCAACCCTTTCTCCCTCAATCTCTCCCACTCACATCCTCACCACTTTTCTCCCAACCCTATTTTTTTTTAACTAACTTCGCAAGATTTAGGTAATCAATTTAATGTCACAACACCTGCCATATCAATAGTCACAAGAGAAATATGCGTTCAGGAGAAGATGATGAATGTATCACTTTGGTTGCTGACGTCATCATTTTTTAAGCTTGATATTTGTGACAATGCTAACACAGTTTGTACCATCATGGGCAGCGGGGGTGTTAAAAGTCACTCTGCACATTTCCGATCAAATGTCTTGGGTGAAACCGAGAAAACTCATGCCTGGAACAAACTGGAAAAGGCAGAGAATGGCCTTGATTATACTGTCACCCTGTAGAAAAGGCCAAGGAATGTGGCAAACTGGCTACAGTAGCTTTGTTCTGTTACTCTGATTGTTGGAGCAAGGTTGAGTTGGCCTTTAGCAGAGTAAAGGAGGAATTGTGTGATGATGCCAGCAGACAAACAATTATAACTTATGAGACAGAGACGCTGTAGAAATACGTCTTTTCTTCTGAGTTTTACTGAAATCTGTCAGTGCACTGAGGTGTAGAGTAGGCAAACATACTGCAAATACTTCTTGTGCGTTTAAGCTGTGCCATCCAGCCTGTTAATAAATGATTACAAGGGTTCCTTCAGCTTGTGTGAAGTTCAGACATGCCTTTCACTGTACATGGCCAATGCTACGGATCGGTGGAATCAAAATAAAATGAGTCCATACAAATAAATCAATAATCCTTTTGTAATATGTAATTTAATGTACTTTTATATCAAAAGATACAGAGAAACACACACATCCAACATACAATGCATTTTAAAAGGCAAAATAAAAGAGACAAACATTTAGAATTAAAGGTTAAAATTGATACAATCCACACATTATACGCACAAAGGGTACCGTTGAATATAGATTTTAAGAACTAAGGATGTTGAACAGTACATATTTGCTATTAGAAAATGGCTATATTAATATTTTTTGAAACATATTTTGCTATTAGAAAAAGAAACATTATCATATGAGATAGGAAACTTGTTAGACTGTTGTTGTGATGAATGAGTTACCTGATTTGATCCCAACACTACACCTTTCTTTAGAATAATGTTATACGAGAGCCTGATTGATAGTGGAACACTTTTTTCTTATAAGCATAACCAAACATGTTTGATAAGGATCTCTGTATGTACTGGGTGGAAAATGATGGACAATCATTTTTGAATGATCTGTGGTTTGTAAAAGATCCAAAACATATTTTTCATCGACCCACATATGTGCTCATAGCAATTTATCTTTGATATTGGCTCATTTATTCGTGAATAATTCCAAATTGAACACCTCCCCTCTGTCTTCTTCTGTCTAGCGCTGTAAGGACTGTTTGAACAGGTTGGCGATCGCAGTGATGAACCAGTGGCCCGGGGTACACTTACGTGTGACGGAGGCCTGGGATGAGGACGGACACCACCCTGCCAGCTCTCTGCACTACGAAGGCCGGGCCGTGGATATAACCACTGACGACAGAGACACAGACAAGTATGGTCTTCTCGCCCAGCTGGCTGTGGAGGCCGGCTTTGACTGGGTCCACTACGAGTCCAAATATCACATCCACTGCTCTGTAAAAGCTGGTAAGTTTAAGAAGGGAGCTTTCATAAAAAAGAATGCCGTGTCAATGTGTTCAGTGGTGGAATAGTTAGTTAGACCCTTCACCTAACTAAAAGTACTAATACAGCTGGGAAAATTCTCCAGTTCAATTTAAACTCCTGCTTTGAAAGGCAATGAAAATGTGTAATCTAAAAAGTAAAAGTTGCATCAATAGAAATACAAAAGTAAAGTACAATTACCTTGAATTTGTTGTCTACTAAATAATTGTACTTTCTACTTTCTAACTCTGGTCATATTACATCACTTCGCTACATGATGTATCAAGACATTTAGGACAAAAAAAGGATAGGTTATATCATCTTGACTGTTTCTGCTAATCTTCCTGCAGATCACTCTGTTGCTGTGGAGAAAGGGGGCTGTTTCCCAGGCTGGGCCCGGGTCACTGTTGCTGGAGGGGTGCAGAAGAGCCTGTCGTCCTTGGCTCTTGGGGACAGAGTCATGGCCCTGTCTGCGACGGGCAAAGTTGTGTGGAGCCAGGTCCTCTTGTTTCTGCACCAGGATCAAGAAAGCTGGTCTACTTTTCTGTTTCTGGAGACAGAAGATGGTCATAGATTGGCCCTCACTCCAAATCACTTACTCTTTTTCGCCCCCCTTTGCAGACTCCACAGCAGTGAGTATCAGGCTCAGTTTGCTAGCAGAGCCAAAACAGGAGATTGTGTTCTCATCCATACAGCTCAGGGTCAAGTACGTCCATCACGGATCATCTCAGTTTCAGTAGAGGAGAGTGTGGGTGTGTATGCGCCCTTGACAGAAGCTGGAACTGTGTTTGTTGATGGGGTGCTGGCATCCAGCTATGCTCTGGTGGAGGACCACAGACTCGCACACTGGGCATTTGGACCTGTGCGACTCCTCTCCTCATTCAACCAGCTGCTTTTGGGGGAGACAAGAAAAGACCACCAGACCACAGACAGTGAGACAGCTTGCACTGAGACTCCATTTCATTGTAGCACTTTGGCATACAACGCAGGTGTGTATGTGAATAATGACACTCTGAACAAACAAGATGGTCAGAGTCAAACTCTGAGGATGGAAATGAAAGAGAAGCAGACATCAAATGTGCACTGGTATGCTAGATTACTATACCGTTTTGGATGTATCTTGTTAGACTCAAGCTCATTTCATCCTTAAAAGCCTAAAACTATACTCAGTAATCATTGCACTGTTCAATGTTAAAGCTCTAAAGCATGCACCCTAACACTTCCTTATTTTCTTCAATAAATGAAAGCACTGGAATGGCTTGCTTGCTTTTTTTATACCCGTGTTTGCATTGTAAACTATCATCATGATATACCTGAAACTACTTAATTAATATTTTGTAAGAGATGACAATCTGAGAAGGTTACTGTAAAAAATGATATTGAAAATAACTGTATAATGCTCTATTTGTACATCATGTTATTTCTGTTAATTATTTGGGTTATATATGTGTAAAACATATATCTTATTCTAATGTGATAGGAATTAATTTTCCCACAACAATAGAAACTTTATTTTTGTACTTTCTGAATCATAATATATATAAATGTTAAATTGTATTATAATAATTACAATCCATGTATTGTATGTCACATGTCATGCCATAAAATCAGATTAAAATGTCATTTTATTAAGCAACAGCCTGGTTTTCTCAGCTTTAGTCTAAATTGTGTCTGTTAAGCTGATTTGTCATTTGCTTGTTAAGCAGAACTGAGTGTGAAAAACATGAGATGCATGCACAAATATATTTCCCTTGGTCTTAGTTGAGCATTATGTACTGTATGTCTCAGTGTTTAAGAGCTCTGTGGAAATCAAGGCCAGCAGGCTCGCAGGTTAATGAAAAGCCCGGACGTACTTAATATTCCCCATACTGTGCCACCACCTTGACTTTATCACAGACTTTATCACATAGCTACTTCAAGGGAGTGTTTGCTTTTCTTACAATCTTAAAGGACACAGTTTTTCTTTTTCAGCAATCACTGATCAAATTGGGTCACAAGTATATCTATTGATGGTGTTGTACAGTTCATTGTTCACATAACTTTCTATGGCTACCAGTCCCTATGTACACTTTTTACACAACAGATGTGCCCTTTTCAAGTTAATATTATTGGATTTAGTTTACTTTTAAAAGGTTTATATTTATGTGTAAATGCCATATTCAGGACAGTAGTATAGGGTTATACACCCTCTTGTGGAGAAAGCTGATATCAAGCCTGAACATTACATTTACAATAAATGCACTTGTACATGCAATAACAACTCTAGATAATAAACCGTAGTTCAACAAACTTTGATTTGATTTGTACTTTGTATTACTTGTAGTATATTAGTCAATAAATACAATGAGGTGGATTAATGTGTTCACTGACAAAACAGTACATGTTTAACTGAAGTATTCAACACCACGTTATCACACCATGAACCTAAACAGGTCCACAAACTGCATTATGTTTATTCAGAGCTGTTTAAAGTCAATAACTGTCACAAATACTGAGCACTCAAACTGTATTCTCTTCTTTAGGTTTATGTTCTGTTGTAAACATCTGTGGAGTACTGGAGGGGATTATCCTTGAGTTACAGGGGGCAGATGGGAAAGCACCAGCTCCACTGACCGGCCAATAGGATCAGCTGATGTCCTAATACTACCCTCTATTTACATCCATCAGCCAATCAGTCACTGTCTTCCAAACAGTCTCAGCCCCCCAAAATCTAATCCAATCTTGCCAAAGCTGAATAGGGAGTTAAGTAATCCTGTCAGGGTGACCAATAATAACCTATTTTCCAAATTAAAACCTGCACACCCCACATTCAGACAATGAGAAGAACATATTTTCTGATCTAAATATAATTCTGTTTGCACAACAATATTCATTTAAAAATGAAAGAGAAGGCTGCATCAGTGGAGATTTGTTATAAATGTGTTGTGAATTAAAAACACTTATTGAGTGCCACAGAAGATATTCCCAAACATTATCAAATGTTCTGCTGAAATCGGGGTAGGCTTTTTTTCTTTCATGAACAATAAAGAGTATAACTCCATATGTGATAATAATAATAATAATAATAATAATATAATCTAAGAAACCTTGACCTTGAATGACTTTAATCATAGAAACAAGTTACTCACTGACTAATCCAAAGAACAATTCGAGGAGAAAATCAAAGTCAATATGAAACCACATTTATTCTTCAAAAACTAAAGGATGGAAGGACAGCCTTTTAAAAAACAATGTCTTATAGTATCATTAGGAATGGCTATCTACCAGAAAAATCTATAAAAATGTTAGGCTCCTAACTAGAATGTGTGGGTGTGAATCAGCATTTCTTAAGTCTTGGATTCTGGTCACATTTGGAAGACAATTCTTTATTTAGCTGCATGCTTTAGAAAACCAACTGCATTCATCCGGTTGAAAGAATTCTTGTAAAATGTTTTATCTTCAGCGATTTCAACGGAGCCCTGAGGCCTTTAGATGCCTCTGCACATATGCATTACCAACGATTTTTCACAGTGCAGGGTCAGCTGCAGATCACCCACGCTGCAGCAGGTGCCCCTGCTTGCCAAGCACACAATGTATTGTGAGGAATGCATGTGTTATCACTGACATAACCTTTACATTTGGGACAAGTTTTGAGTTATACCACAAATAAGTAACTTACCAGCAACTTACATTTTGTTCTCTGGACAATGACAAGAGATAACTGATGTGACTGTAACCTGTGACCTTCTCCCATAGGACAGAGTGTTACCTAACCTAGTTTTGTGTTAGTTCACAATATCATTCCAATGTCATTCAAGTTTTCCTGGATGTACTGCTTCATGCTTTTTGTTCACGGACCATGAAAATATGATATGGGGAGGTTGGTGTTGTGATTTAAGAAGCAGAAAAATAAGAGGATTTCTGAAAACTTAATTAAATGTAATTTTAGACTGTGCTGTTCAAAGGTTTTGATTGAAGCATGCATTTGATTTGGCCCTAATCTGCAGAACCATTGAAAGTTGCTGCTTGCAAAGCATTAAGGTCCACATGCAGTCACTTGGTTGACCTAAAACCTTAAACATTTAGAAATTGAGCGTTCTTGAACCCATCCTTCCTGAGGCCCCCATGCCACAGGGGGTTTCTCACAGTGATAAGGCAACAGAATGACAGAGTAGGCTAACCTCTCATCCCCACCGCCATAGGATCTTTATAATGTTTAGCCTCAGTATACTTTATGATTGCTTCTTATCTTAGTTGAAGACTAAGGGTTGATAAAAAAACTGTACAGTGTTGAGTGTTTTTTTTGGGGGGGGGGGGGCAAACATGTCAAATACCACCTACGTGGATGGACAAAACAATGTTGCCACCAGTCGCACGGGATACAAAAACAGCTATTTTTGCTCAATATTATCAGTGAATCTGCTGAAAACTAGGTCATGGTTTATTTCACATCCTTGTAGTTTAAAGTAATCTATAAATCTTCCCAATCGCTCTCAGTCACTCGCTCCAGCAAAATGCGCAATGCATAGCAGTATGGTAACAGTAGGAGAATACAGTAACATAAGCGGAATAAGTCATTAGCAACCACGATGAAGTGCACAGTACACATTGTTTATGTTAATTACAAAATGAATTTGCACTAAGAATTATGATCCTATTAGAAGTCATTAATATCGGTCCTGATTTTCAAAAACAGATGCATTTGTCCATCGGCATATCAAAGGGGCTTCGGTTCTACAACCATAACAATCTGATGAAAAATGGCTTCCCTGGATCTGAAAATCTAATGAGTTGATATCATATATCCACCATATTTCGGTGGTGGGAGCTTTCGAGATTAGACCCGTATGTTGTGTGCTAAATATCATATTGGCACAAATAATCCATTACTACACTAGAGCTGTAACACGGTTTACTGTTATCTAGTGATACATACAAATGTTTTTATCGTTCTTTTGCATGAATAATTTGTTGACGTAGTTGTTATTAGCTAGCTCTGCTAGCACTCGGCGGAGCAGCAATGTGCAGAAGCAACGCAGTTCAGCAAAGTGAAGCGATGTCCCATACATGAGTACTACAAATACAAAGTTGAGCTGCACATTTAGGCAGATAAATGTTTGCAGTGGACAACAACTAACAGTAACAAATATTGTCTTTAGTCCCAACAAAGTTTTGCACTGTAGTTTTAGCATGCACTATGTTGTGCAAACTAGTAAATTAGTAGCTTTAACGACCTCGCGAGCGAGATTCCAGAACAGAGCAGAAGCTAGCTCCTGTTAGCATTCAAGCTAAATCCACCAGCAGGAGCGAGATATCTGGTTAGTTTCTGGATTCACAGCTTGATGCTGTGGAGCCTATGAATGGACTGGTTAAAGACTTTTGGCGTTGTTTTATAGTTCCCCGGCAGTATACGACCACTCTACACAAAGTTCGATGTGCTGGATAGCAAGCTAACCATAGCATTATCCATCTAGTTAAGGAGCTAGCTGCACTGCCTGCCTTCCGCCGAGGTGCACTTCCCCCACTCTCCCTCCAGCCGGCTAGCCGCAGCGTTAGTCCGGTACATAAAATGAAGCGACCATCAGCGTTTTGGGAAGCTGTGTGGCTGTTTGGATTTTGCTGATGTATGAGGAGACGATATTGTTTTTGTGAGGTGAGCTTGTTTTTATTATGGCCGCCTTGAACTTCTTGCAACAGACATACCTAAAGACATATCAACCCTGACCTTAGACCGGGTAATGTTAGCTCTGCTTCGGTAACACTTAGCTGTTAGCTTCAACCAAATGGAGGGGTCTACTTGCTGGAGAACTAGCTATGTTACCTGGGTGTTAACTTTACGTTGAAATATGTTTTACGCTGGTTGTGCCCAAGGTATGATAAGAAGAGTAGCCGGTTAACATTTTAGAAGTTCATTAGCATGTGTATAAGATGGGGTGTATTTCTCGTAGTTTTGCCTCTTCGGGACACTTTGTTGCTACGTCACCATTGGTAGATGTTGGCTTTTCCGTTTCAACCTCTCGCCGGTGACACGGACACGGCTATTTGCTGGACGGAACCAACCCTTTGAAGTCGGTGTTTACATTGAGGAATAGTGCTTAGCTTTGCAGTTATTCAACTGTAAAATCTTATTAGCTTCTGCCGAGGCGCTGAAAATAAATAGCTGCTGCTTTGACTGACATTACAAAACAACAACAAATACATTAAAGTTAATTTGTATCGTTAACACTTTTAACGTTAACTTAGCTAGCATGGTGTTAAGACGGTAACTTGGCCATCATGTCATCCCTTTTGCTCTGATCAGTGCCAACTTCATTTTTAGAGACAAAGCCGTTTCACTATGCTTATTATACGTGATGTAGGCATGTAGCACAAGGTTTTTGTAATACTTGGTTTTGACGTTAGTTTGTTGTCAAGAGAGTGCGTTTCCAGTATTGTTGCCACCGAATGCGTTTGTTACGAAGATGTAACGTTAATGCTTCATAGAGAAATTAATTTGTCCATCAGCTCGGTTTGCATCATGGCGTTCACGGCTTATTTTGCCATATGCCAAACAGCGTTTACATGTAGATCCAGACATGGTGTGTGTTAGGTGAAAAGGGTCAGTATGTTGCATATTACCTGGGGAGTTTTGGATGGACATGCGTTCAAAAACACTACTAAATGATTATGACAAAGATGCACTGTAATTGATTTGGTGTAATAAATAAATGCATTCTGAACTAATGAAAAATAAATAATCTGTTCTATGGGTCCTCGGTTGGGATCTCCTTGCTGCTGCTTCTGTGATAATGAAAAGGAAACATGTCGAAATGTGTGTGTTGGCTCACAGGATGATTTCACGAGTATGGTGGCACAGTTTCTTGTTTTAAATAACAAAACACTGCAATATTTTCAGCTTGATTTATATTTCTAAGCAACCGTCACATATATTGTCATGTGAGCCCATTTGATCAGGACATACAGCATGGCATCACTGACGGTTTTGTCGTCATCTATATTATTTTGTGACATGAGATTTAAAGCTATATAAACACATATTGGCCATTCTGTGATATAAGCCTACTATGAGTAAAACACACCATTCCAATGGAAGCTGATCTGCTCATGTTTAATTGTCGTCTGTTAGTGGCGTTTACACGTTCAATAACATGACTGTATATAACTAACTATGTGAATAAAATAAAATGGTGATACAGCCAAGTCTTGGATAGTTTATTTTACAGTATTATTTGATAATGTCGTGAATCTCACAGCGGAACCATGAAGCGACCGATAAATGTTTTGCACGAAAGAAGCTCCGCTGCAACAGGAAGTTCTCCATACGGAAGTTGTGTTTTCTTTGTGTATCCCGATTTATGGTTGTTTTATTTGGGGAAAACACCATTTTAGTTTTATCATTGTGTGCTTTTTCACGCTGCCGTTTCACCGATTTGGATTATGCATTGCCTGGTAAATGATAACTTGAATTGTTTAAGCGGTTTCCGGACGATCTGTGTCCTGTAACACTCGCGCTATTTTCACGAGTTTCCGAGGAAGCTCGGCTGCATTAGTGCTAGCGTTAGTCAGATTAACACAAGGAAATAATCTAAAGTGAGCACCCAACAGCCATATTTCATTGGTTGCATTGTTTGTTCGAAATCTGTTTGAGAAAAGTGGTTTTGGATTGTTAGTGAGGCTACTGTATACTATGTTTTGGAAAAGAAAAATGCATTTTAGGAATGTATTTTCATGATGATAAACATATGTTGGCTAATGAAAAGGACATTTTATATTTCTAAGTAGAGACCTACATCCCACTTGGTTGTTTACTTCATGTGGGAGAAACTCCCAATCATATGCCTTTTTAGTAATGCTTCTAACATATATATTTTCTCTACAGTCATTGGTCAGTGATAGCACACTCATGTCTTGCTAGCCAGTTATGAGATAAAGGTTGTTTGCATGCTGGGAACATTTTAGTTAAATTAATGTATTTCTGATAAACATTAACAAGTTGATTTGACTTCTGTTTCTGAATTGCAGATCTCTGTCAAGGAGGTCAACATCAATACGGGGGATGGACGAGCAGAAAACAAACTGCGATGAAAATGAATCTGAACCAACAGGTAATGCATTGTTATTCAAATGTCACCATTTCCAAACATCATCCACTATTAATGTACACTTTTCTGCTGGATGATAAATAATTTACCTTTGGACTTAAAGAGAAAGGCACAGGGCTGAGAACAAAATATATTTGAATTTGTACAAATCATTTATTAGAGGAGCTAATGGCAGGCAAATCAAATTGGGGTTAGTCAAATTCACTTATTCCCTTTTTTTCCATTCCCTAGCTGATGATAATGCCCCTACGAAGAAGCTTGTCTCCTCCTCTGAGGAGTCCAAAGCCCTTCCTGCTGCCGAGGACCTGTCTGGTGCTACCTCAGCCCCGTCCAGCACACCTGAGTAAGTTATCAATTCCTATCAAAAATGTTTAAGTCAATAGTCTATATGTCAACAAGCTGCTCATTGTTGGCAAAACCAAAAACGGAATCTCTGATGGTATTTTTTTTTTACTGTACAGTGGTAGCGTCCGAGCTTGTGTGCTCTGTAACTGTGTGGAGCGGAGCCTGCACGGCCAGCGGGAGCTGAGACACTTTGGGCCGTCTTCTGAACGGCCGACCCTCAAGCCATCAGCTTCCCTACTGCCACAGCCCGGAAATGATGACCTGTCTTCCATTGGATTTTCCGACTCCCCCTGTCTGGCATCGTTCTTTGACGACTCAGGTTGAAAACAACATTATTCTATTCTATTTTGTTTGTGTACAATAACAAATAGCTTTCAGGAATCAAGCATATTATAGGTTACATCATCTAGAAATGTAGCACACAGGTGTAGAATTGGACAAATAATGTTAGAGATGTCACTGACGCTGTGCTTTATATTAAACAGGGGGCTGTTTGGTTCATCACTGGTGTGCTGCGTGGTCGGAGGGGGTGAAACAGGTGGATAATGAGGAGCTGGAGAATGTGGATAAGGCCGTTATCTCAGGGACACAGCGGGTAAGTTCACTGTCCATCGGTTTTGATTATAAATATCAGGAGAGAATATAGGAATGAACAGGTTTCCTTAATACATCTTTGTTTCCATTGGTTCGTTTAAGCTTTGCGAATACTGCAAAAGGCTGGGTGCAACCATTCGATGCCATGCTGAGGGCTGCTCGCGGTTCTACCACTTCCCCTGCTCGGCGGCCAGTGGATCCTTCCAGTCCATGAAGCAGCTGGTCCTCCTCTGTCCAGAGCACATAGACAAGGCGGAGGAGTTGGGTAAGAGAACCAGACATCCTTGTCCAAATTGTGATGTCTACTTAGTGCTTGCTCACAGCCAGGCTTATACTATGTGCACATGTTTAAATATAGTGATGTACTATATGAGAAAATAAGGGGAAATGTATACAATAACATTGTTGAATTTAGCAAGAACTAAATTACTTGCAATAATAGCTATACTCTGTTCAGCTTGTCTGCTGATTTCTATTTCTGCTAAAATACAACAGATTAATTATTGAATTAAAATCTGAAAGGAAATTATTATTGTATATTATTTTATTGAATCGATATAACGGATTCAATGGTATGCTGAAAAAAGAATTGTGGTTACATTTCTATTGGCAGTTTTATTCTGAATTTGGTTTCTTGTCTGTGAACTCTACATTTGAATGCTTTTGTGTAAATCAAGTGTCGACTGCCAGCATATGCTGAAAGTTGAAAAAAGCGGACTTTGGGACATGTCCTTGAATGTTGAATATTTTCAGGCTTATAGAAACAATACCTGCTTTGTGAAACAAAACACCAGGCATCTATGCAAAAGTGGCTACTGGCTTACTATCTTGTGTTTTTTTGTGTTCATATGTATTTTAATTATTTTCTTTACAGCAGGTGAGGAGTCTTGGTGTGCAGTGTGTGACTCAGCGGGGGAGCTCACAGACTTGCTGTTCTGTACGGGTTGTGGCCTACATTATCATGCGGCCTGTCTAGAGATCGGTGCCACGCCTATCCAGCGGGCAGGATGGCAGTGCCCAGAGTGTAAAGTTTGCCAGACGTGCAGGTAAGAAAAACAATTCTTAGATTGTGCCTGAATGTTTTTTATTATATTTCATCCTGTTTTCTTTTTTTTTTTTAGCTTTTTTTTTATTCTTTTTTTTAAAGATGAATGTCTTTATTATTCATTTATTTTAGGCAACCAGGTGAAGACTCCAAAATGTTGGTATGCGATGCCTGTGATAAGGGCTACCACACCTTCTGCCTCCAGCCAGCCATGGATTCTCTTCCCTCTGACCCATGGAAATGCAGAGTAAGTCACATTTGTCTTTCATCTTGGTACAAAGACATTACTTTACTTCCAAAATGTACCTAACCGAAGAAACCCCTTTTTTAAATCAGGATATTTGGGGCTTCTTTGACCATTCGGTTTACAATTTACACCTTTTTTGTCTGTTTTTTCTCAGAGGTGTCGTGTGTGTACGGAGTGTGGTGTCCATGGACTGGGGCTGCCAGGTTCGGCCCAGTGGTTTGACAACTACGCCGTGTGTGAGGGCTGCCAGCGGCACCGCAGCTCGGTGTGTGGTGTGTGCAGCAAAGCTGCCAACACATCTGTCACTCTGCAGAGCTGCAGCACATGCCACAGGTTAGTTTGATGCAGAAGCAAAATAGTGTTAATTTGTGCTGGCTTATCGCTCCTTGTCATACAATATTTCTCATAATCTCCTAATTGTCCTAGATCGGTGCACAGTGAATGTTCTTCACCGGGGGAGCTTCCAGAAGCAAAGTGCATTTGCCGGCTTTGCAAGGAGGGTCAGCTGCAGCCTGTCACTAAATCATACACAGCAGAGATACAAACCAGAGAGGCGTCTGAGGAGACTGTGGATTTGGTGGAGGCGACAATCCAAACAGATGCAGACATGGTGACAGAAGAGCACACAGACTTATCAGAGCTGGCACCAGGGCAGAAAGGTGCATCGGAGAAGGTTCAGGACGAGGCCACGACTGATAAAGAGACTCCCATGGTCCTGGGTAAGTCTGCATCATGCACATTAATGCATCTTGTTTGTGCACCTTGGCAAATAGAAAATACATTTTCTCTATCTCTTATTCTTTCCAACTGCAGCACTTAAAGCAGTTCAGATTATTTGTATATGATCGATGTACTTGATTCTTCCAATTTTTTGGTTGTATCCACATGGTTGAATGCACTTATTGTAAGTTGCTGTCGCTAAAACGTAAGCTAATTAAACGATTTGAAATGTCAGGCTGAGATGTGCTTCTGATGTTAACTACTTTTGGCTTCAGGGGTGGAGTCCGCAGTTGTTGAGACACCAGCCGTTGGGGAGAAGTTGAAGCAGGACGAGCCGCAGGGAGCAACAGAAGAATCGCCTTCTGAGGCTCCCGCTGTTCAGACTGAGGCCACAGGTAAACTTGTAACGCACTGTAGACATTTTTTAATATGAACACAAAGCAGTAGTTTATTATCTGTATTATGGTGTGCCGTAACTAATGATATATTTGTAAATGTTTACACTAGTAACCACGCATTCCTTAATCTTAATTGTAGATTGTGCAACAAAAGAACAGAGGGCCTCTTGTCTACCTACTGATGAAGAGAGGGTAACAGAGGCAGTCAGCCGTGGGACTAAAGACGCCCAGGCCCAGGCCCCTCCAGCAGAGACACAGTCTGACAACCCTAAAGAAGAACCATCACCGGTGTCAGAGCAGGGTCCTGAAAACATGGAGGTGGAGAAGGAGGATAAGCAAGAAACCACTCCATCAGTGGAACAAGAAGTACCATCAGAGCCATTAAAAAATGTCTCCAAAGTCACGCACGTCCCACCACCATCCAGTAAGGATCCACCAAAGTTACCATCTTCTCCTGCCTCTGTGGACAAAACGGAGCACTCGCCTATGGATAATCGGCAAGAAAGAAGTCCATGCCCGGACCCTCAGTCTCCTTCTCCTCTTTCTATATCAGGAGACACACAAGAGGCCCTGTCGTCTATGGAAATGGAGCGGAGGTTACTACCTCACTCTGAGGAAGAGGATGATGATGACGAGTATGATGAGCAAATGAAAGGAGATGGACTTATTGACGACATAAAGCGGGAGCCGGACGATCTGTCCTACCTGAGCCATGGAGACGAGAGCAGCAGCGGCTTTCTGGGCTCTCCAGGAGAACAAGACCCTCAGCTCTCCATGGAGCTCGGCCACTCGCACGCAGATAACCTGCTGTCTGAGACCGATGACTCGCTTCCCTTCGAGCCCCTCAGAGGCGACAGAGAGAAGGTGAAACGCAGAGGGTCCCCCGGTCGCTCGCGGGTCAAACAGGTTGGTCTTTCTTTACTTGGTATTTTTCTGCTCAAACAGCTGATGATGGTTTTAAATTAAGTTGTTTGTAGGACTTGACATTGAATTGGTTTAACTCTGCTTGTAGGGGCGAAGCAATAGTTTTCCTGGGAAGCGCAGACCCCGAGGAGGCGGTGGAGGGAGAGGGCGGGGTGGGAGGTCCCGCCTCAAAGCCATGGCTTCCTGCATCGACGCTTTCTTGGTGAGCTTCATGAGGTGGTCATAATCACTCTTTTCATACTTTGGTTATTGATATTTTTGATCTTTAACTGTTGATCCCCTTGTTCACAGCTAAGCATGACCACAGACACTGGAGTGAGTAAAGAGGAAGACGAGGAGGAAGACGACACCATGCAGAACACAGTGGTTCTTTTCTCAAACACTGATAAATTTGTCCTGCTCCAGGTACAGCTCTTATGTCATCTTTTTAATTACCCTGTGGCATAACTACAATTTCCACTTTCAAATGCACCGCAAATACTCATTGTTTCCTCTTTGTTATATTGTCCTTTCTTTCTAGGATATGTGTGTTGTGTGCGGCAGTTTTGGAAAGGGTTCAGAGGGGCAGTTGTTGGCTTGTGCTCAGTGTGCCCAGTGTTACCATCCTTACTGTGTGAACAGCAAAGTAAGCACAACATTTCCCTTTGTTTTTATGTGTATTTTTTTCACAGTATTTCTAAATGAAACCTGATATTTCCTGTAGATCACCAAGACGATGCTCCGTAAGGGCTGGCGCTGTCTGGAATGTATTGTGTGTGAGATGTGTGGAAAGGCTTCGGATCCCTCCCGTCTGCTGCTGTGTGACGACTGTGATGTCAGCTATCACACCTACTGCTTGGACCCGCCCCTGCACAATGTCCCCAAGGGTGGTTGGAAGTGCAAATGGTAAGCGTAATGTTTACTGACAAAAAACGGACAAAATTTCAACCGTATAGTTCGGCTCTATTCAACTAATTTTAAGAAACCAGTACTTTTCTCTATTTTAATTTCTACTGCCACCTGTCTATCATGAAACCAATCGGGTACATTTGCACTACGTCTATTGTGTACGTCAGTTTGCATGCTGACATCTGGGTCTAGTGAATTAAAACACTGCAGTCACTATTGACGGTGTCGCACTGGAGACGTTTGACCAATCAGCGGTCTGCAGTGTTTAAACATCTCCTTCTGGTATCAGCTTAGCTCACTTTTTGACCTAGACCAAGGCAGTACCAAAAAAAGGTCCAGGTGTACTGTCGGCAACTCTTGTGAAAAAACAAAAAAGACTAGTTCAGTATCATGCAGTAGAAATGCAGCATAAGAGCACACTGTTTCATTCAGCATGGTAGCTTTGAATAGGGCCAAATGGAAATGAATACATGTTCATTTGCATATTATGTAAAACACTCATGCCTCAGCCTGCATTAGCAATTCAGAGGCCCATCCCTATGCCTCTTGCTTCTGTAGCAACAGAAACAATATTGCAACACTCAAAATAGTTCCTGTACTTGTTTGTTTTCTTCAATCTTGCATATGAGCTTTATATTTAACACATAGTGCTTCACTACTTTTGTGCAGGTGTGTGTGCTGCGTCCAGTGTGGTTCAAACACCCCAGGTTTCCACTGTGAGTGGCAGAACAACTACACACACTGTGGCCCCTGTGCCAGCCTCGTCACTTGTCCAGTTTGCAGAGAGAACTTCATGGAGGAGGAGCTGCTGCTGCAGTGTCAGTACTGTGATCGGTGGGTGCTGCTCATTAGAACTACACACACACACACACACACACACACACACACACACACACTCTGATGTATTCATGAGACCGCCGCTAATGAAGACGAGCGGGGAATGGATTATTTATGTATTTTTCATATCATGAATTATTCCGTTCCATCTTTGATTCGGGGTGTGATTTGTTGAGGAAAGTTTGTGCATCAACGTGTTTCTGTGTGCCTGTGCAGATGGCTCCATGCTGTCTGTGAGAGTTTGTACACAGAGGATGAGGTGGAACAAGCTTCTGATGAAGGCTTTGCATGCACATCCTGCAGCGCATATGTTCCAAAACCTGTGGGTAAGTTCCACAACGACACTATTTAGAAACTAAGATTGGAAGAATTTGCTTTGAAAAACCCTCATAGGATATTTTCTTGTTTACTGATGACATGAATCTTTTTTTTTTCTACCTGCTTTTTGCCTTTGCTCGCTGTAGTAGAGTCAGCAATTATGGCTTCAATAAAGATCAAAGAGCCAGGTTAGTGGATTATGCTTACTAATGTTTATAATCCCAAGCACATTTCCTATGGTCATCTTTTGTTTGTTTTTCTGTTACTCACTCATATTTACAAATGTCACTTTACAGAACCCCAGTTCTACCGGTTGGAAGGTGTGTGGCTGACAGAGTCGGGCATGTCCCTGCTTCGCAGCATCTCCATGTCTCCTCTGCACAAGAGACGGCAGCGCCGCTCCCGTCTCGGGGCTCTGTGCTGTGAAGGAGGCTCTGATGGGATGGATCTGAGGGAGGGTGACGAAGGTTTGCACACTTGATTCAATGGTGTAATCAAATGTTTGTTGGGTTTGCTCCTTTTCAATGTCAGACTCAATTTATTGTTATCTTGTTTGTTAAGGATGTGGGGAGCCCATGGAATGTGAATCCAAAATGGAGAACCCTGGGAGCCCTGACAGAGAAGGAGGTGCAGACGTAGGCCCTGATGGCATGGCCGACTGCGATGGTGTCAAAGGAGGAGCAGAGGAGACTGAGGACAGCAAAAAAAGAAAGCGGAAACCTTACAGGCCTGGTAAGCTATCCAGAATTTGCCAAAAGACTTAAAACATCTACAAATGTCTTGAGTACCCACAATATATGAACAAATCATTATCTGTATTTTGCAACAGGAATTGGAGGCTTCATGGTGCGACAAAGGAAGTGTCACACACGGATGAAGAAAGAGTTCTTCGCCCAGCTTGCTGGAGAGACTACATTAGATGGACAGCCAATAGAGAGAACCATTGACGAGGGTTGGTGACAACTTTAGAATTGAATTACATCCAATACAAAAATGCAAAAATAAACACTTATGTATTCAGAAAACCCATTGATGTTTTTTTTGTAAATTCAGTTAAATTGTGAAACTGAATTGCATAATTATATGTGCAGGACCTCACCCTGACACAGATAACATCATGGATCCTAAACCAGTGGAGGGCGAGGAACAGGCCAAGAAGCGACGGGGACGGAAGAAGAGCAAACTTGAGGACATGTTTCCATCTTATCTCCAGGTTTAACTCTCTCTATGCCCACTGTTTTAAACAGTTTTTAAACTGATTTTATCCAGTGAGGTAACGTTCACCTTTGAAATGTTTGTACATTTTTCAGGAGGCTTTCTTTGGGAAGACACTTATAGACTTGGGTAAGAAAGCTGTGATGACACCTCCAGGGCAGAGGCCGGGCGCATGCCTGGTCCGACCTTCATTACCAGCACCGTCAGGGGTCAGAACTTCTGCCCCAGAGAGTAAGAACACTAACTTGACCTCTGACACCTGAAAACTGCAAATCATTTGTGGGTGTGGATGCGATGAGCACCTTTTGTGACCTTTGCGCTTCTTTTACTAGATGAAGATCGTGTGGTGAAAGAATATTTTCTTATCAAGCAAGAGGGGGGTGATGGCCCCCAGGCTCAGGCAGAAGGTGCAGGTACGTTTCTGTTTGTTTGCTGCTGGTTTATTCTTAGTGTTGTAATTGCAGGTTGGTTTAAAATTATACATTATTTTTAGGAGTTTCTGCACCGTCCTCATCACTGAAAGAACAGGCGTCAACTGATCCTCATGACTCTGATGCAGAAAAGAGTGAAGGTATTCCCACCAGAGGTTTCTTTGGTCTAACAGTATGCAACATCAATCAGTGGGGAGAATACCTGATGTAGCATCCTACCTTACATGCTGTTGTCCTTGTGTGGCAGGTCTTCCGTTAGGGGTGGAAAGTCAGGACTCTGAGCAGTTCTTCAGGAAGGTTCTGGGATCGTCAGACGGCTCCTCTTTGGGGGGCATGAAGCCCATCTTGGAGGGCAGTAAGGGAGAACTCAATCGTAGCGCTTTGCCGCAGAGAGCTCTCCTCTCAGGTGTGTACAAGGACATGTCATCAGCCAGTCTTATGAATAAACAGATACACAGACAGTATAAAACCATATCTGTTGTTTGATTGAGGATTATTTACAAAATGAATGTCTAAGTGAATTGTGGCTTGAGATTAATTTGAGCGTGCACCATCTCTAACAGGGTCCCTGCCCTCCGCTGGAATGATGGATGGTTTTCCTGGCCTCTCTCAGTCACCGTTCTTTGATATGCGGTAAGACCAATACTGCTTTTCCTAAGCATTTTATTTTACAACAATTTGTAACTGTTGCTGTAGATCGGTTTGAATTCATACACACACTTAATTCTTTACAGTGTAGTTAACACATGAAAACCTTTTCATTTACAAGACAATAACTTATCATATGGTGTACAGGGAGCGAGGAGGATTGTTCAGTCCAGATGGAAGTGAGGAAAGCGCCTGGGCCAATCCCTCTACCCCAGTAACCCCTTCCTCCCCACCGACCCCCACTGAGGGAGAAAGTGATGGGCTGTCCTACAACCAGCGCAGCCTCCAGCGGTGGGAGAAAGACGAGGAGCTGGGAGAACTCTCAACCATTTCCCCGGTGCTTTATGCCAATACCAACTTTCCCACTCTCAGACAGGACTACCCAGGTAAGAGAGGACGAAATAATAATATATACACAGTCTATAAGAGGACAAAACAGACCTTGTGCTTTTTTTAAAGTAAGTTTTATATCTCCGTTATATATTGGGCAGCTGTTAAATATTTCTCCTGTCACAGACTGGGCTAATCGCTGTAAACAAATCATGAAGGTCTGGAGGAAGGTGTCAGCTGCTGACAAGGTTCCATATCTGGTGAGTTCTGTTTTTATTGCTTTTAGTTAAATATATAATATAATTTAAAAAATATATATCTATATATCTATATCAAATCAACAATTGTTTCCTGCGGTTCTCATGTTGTGCATTTTCCCAAATGGTTATCATAGACCTTGAGTTCTTGTTATTCTGTTTGAATTGTCCCTAATGGCTTATTGTACCTTCACTTTCTATACATAAAGCCTTGAGTGAAAAATGACCAAATACAGAAATAAACGAAACTGTAACTCAAATGTTTAAGTTTCTGCTGGGTATTACTACATTTAGTAGTAAGACCATCCATATTGACATTTAAGTACAGTATATCCGCATTTAAAGGTATATTGATCACGGCTCTCAACATGGCTGACTCTTTGACAAGTAGCTAACATTGCTAACAGCAAAATACAACTTTATAGTACATTGCTGTACTATAACTTAACATTGCACATTTTTTCCATGCTGATTTATAATAATGCATGTTTTTGTTATGCATAAGTTCAAATGGCATTTATAATATTGAAACAATCTCATTACTTTTTGCAGCAAAAGGCCAAAGATAACCGAGCAGCTCAGAGGATCAACAAGGCGCAGAAGGTGACTAAAGCTGAAAAAAATCATTTTTCTTTTTCAAAGCAAATGCATGGTTTGATACCTTTTCATTCAGTCGTGGTGCATATCATTCATGCTTCCTCTGTACTCTCCTCTTCCCACAGCAGGCGGAGAGTCAGGTGTGCAGGCCTATAAAGACGGAGGGAGTGCGTGTGAAGACGGAACGGCCTAGTTTGCACCTCCAGATCCCTCCACCTTCAGGCTCTACATCCATCTCTTCCCAGCCCAGTTCTGCAGAAAGTCCATTTCCCTTCCCTCCAGATTCAGGATCCTCCTCTGTCTTTTTCTCAGACGGGCCTCTTAGGACTCCGGGTTCGGCTGAAATCCGGACAGATCCCTTGGCCAAGCTTCCTCCTCAGTCACCTCATTCTCACTCTCACCCAACCACACCGTTCCCCCATGCTGGGGCCAGCCCTTTACAGGCCTCTTCCTCAGGTTATTCCGCTTCCGGCCCACAGGGTCCTCCTCAGGGACGGCCAGCCAGTCTTGGCCCCTTTGACATGCAACCAGGAACTCCTGGAACCCCCAGACGGGCTCAGCAGGTTGACCCCTACTTCAGATCACAGCTGCAGCAGCAACAGGGTCATCTACCACAATCACAGCAAGGCTCCCAGGAGTCACTCGGACTTCCAGAAAGTCCTCATTCGAGAGGTTCAGGGCTTGGGGAGTCGCCAATATTCTCACCACCCCACAACACCCATTACGGAGACCCTTTCAGAAACCAGCAAGGGATGGGCCGGCCTGAATATGGTTCATCCCCGTCGCCTTCTGCAGTGGCTTCCTCCCCTGCAGGGCAGTACAGGGCTGATATGAGCGCCCCCTCTCCACGCTCCTCTGCTGGGAGGCCTGATCTATCCACTGGCTCTCCTGCTGGGATGCTGGACTCGGGGGATGGTTTGTTCAAGGCACCTATGACCCCACGAATGCACCAAGGGGAGGTGCATCCTGGAGCATCTCCAGGACACCCCTCTGAAGGCTACAGGCAGTCTCCTTCTCACTCTTTCTCTGACCCCCACGCCCAGTCACCACTGACTCCCAGGCCGCAGTCAGCCGACAATTGTCCTCTCGGGCTCCAGAGACATCCTGTTGCTCAACAGGAAATGTGCCCTCGAGTGCCCTCCAGCCCAAATTCACAGGGCAGCTCTCAGTCTCCCCACACTCCCGGGGGCCTCTCCAATGATGCTTACTCTGTCCATTCTCCTGCTACGCCTCGTTTCCAATCCCCGGACCCTTGTTCTCAGCCACCTTCAAGGCCACAATCTAGAGACCCTTTTGCTACTCTCCACAAACCCCCTCGCCCCCCTTCTGTTGCCCCAGAGGGAACAGCAAGTTACAAAGGCTCACCCAATCCTCACCAGCCACCTCCACTACATCCCACCAACAGTTCCATAGGGGACCCTCTCTCTGGTAAACCGTCAGCACCTCTTACTTTCAGTCGCAGCCCCAGCACGGGAGGCTTCCAAATGACCCAACAGCAGAGTCAGATGTTACAGGGTCAGCTTCAGCAACAACAGCCACAAACTCTACAGACAGACGGCTTTGGCTCCAGGGGGCCAAATCTCTCCGGATCTCAAGATCTGATGGCTGTCCGCCCTCCAGATGCACATCAGCAGCCTGGCCTGCCAGGCACTCCAGAAATACCTGACATTTCAGCAGTTCAGGACCCTGCCTTAGTCGGCCTCAGCCCCTCTGAGCTAGAGAAGCACCGACAGGTATGAACATATTAGCCATTAACAATCATGCTCTGCACTTTTCAGGTGTTTTTCTAATCAATTCTTGTTATGTTTTTGTTTTTTTCAGCGACTCAGACTACGGGAATTCTTAATCAGACAAAAACTGCAGAGAAACACCATCAGACAAGAGAAGGAGGCTGCTGCAGCGGCTGCTGCTGGCAGTGGATCCCCTGGCTGGCCTGGAGGAGAGATGGGAGCCTTTCAACAAGACAAGGCCCACAGAGCACCGCCACCTTATCCACAGGTATGCAACTTACGAATATGCTGTAGACTTAAGATACCTTTGAATGTCACTCATTTTAATTGCACCACTTTATAGCTGAGGATGTACTTTGACCTCTCTGATGTTAGTGAAAGATGGTCAGATGAGTGCCTTGCATTGTAGCTCACATCCATTAATGTGTGAGAGTGGATGTATGGCAGCAAATTCTAATGAGGTTTGGATAAAAGTGTTCTATAAACGAACAAAAGGAATGTTACATCTGCCTCTTTTTGCCATCATTACTTCCTTTAGGATCGTGTTGCTACTGGTCAGGCTTCTATGACAACAAAGATGCCTATGACTGGAGGCATGGGGGTCATTCGCCCTCCACCTACAGGAACCCCTGCCATCATGGATCCTAATGCACTAAGGTAACCACGTCAACCATGTAGATTTACAATATGCCGAATCACAATGTTTTCACTTTGTAAAAAAGAAAATTCAAGAAATCTGATATACCATGTTAAAACGTTAACATATTTTCTCTTCTGTGTGTTTCTGTCATTTAGGCAACCAGGGCCCCCCAGACCTCAGGGCATGTATGTTCGTCAACCGTTCCCTCCTCAGTGGCAGGGCCAGGCTCAAGGCCCAAGGAGGTTCCCCCAGCCCGGCATGGAGGCCATGGGCATAAGACACAATCTCAACCCTGCTGTCAACATGCAGGGTATGGAAGGCATGGGTAACCCTCACGCCATGATGCCAGGACATGGAGGAGAGACCATGCAGTCAATGGGTCAAGGGCCTCCACCACAGTTCATTGAATTGAGACACAACTCACAAAGACTACCCCTACGACCTCAGTTTATACCCCGTGTACCCCAGCCGAGACAACGGCACTTTGTCCCTCAGCAAGAGATGGCAGCATCTTTTGTTCAGCAACATCCAATGGGTCAAGCTGGTGGCATTCAAACTGACGGGGGCAGCAACTCGCATCTTAGGTTACAGCAGGGTGGACTTCCAGCTTTAATGCCTCAGTCAACAGGCCCAATAACACAGCATCCCCACCTGCAGCACCAGGCAGCTACTTCCAATACAAGCATTCCTAGCACTGAGCAGCATCATCTCCAACAACCAAGCCTGGTCACACACTCCCAGCCTGCAACAGCAGTGAGTAATGAGGAGCTGCCAGAACCTGACCTTGAAGGCCTTGGGGATGCCCCAGGGGATGGAGGTGTGGATGATGAGGATGATTTGGCTCTGGACTTGGACCCTGACAAGGGAGATGATGACTTGGACAACTTGGACAACCTGGAGACCAATGATCCACATTTAGACGACCTGCTTAACAGTGACGAGTTTGACCTGCTGGCTTACGCTGACCCTGAACTGGACCAAGGAGACCCGAAAGATGTCTTCTCAGACCAGCTCCGGTTAGTGGAAGCAGAGAGTGAAGCACCTGCATCTTCCTCTGGATCTGCACATGTTAAAGTGGAAGTAAAAGCCAAGTTGGAGCCAGGGCAGAAGTGTCTCACAACAGTTGCTGGCACTGCAAGAGGGTCTGCTACTCAACTGCCACCCTCTGCAGACATATGTGATATCTCCAAGGTCAAAATAGAGGACAGAGGTATGACTCAGATGCATCCAGGACACACTGTGGTAAAAGATGAGTTTGGAGAGGCTGTGTCAATGCTTCTTGGTGGGACCACGCCATCTTCCAAGTCTGCACAACCAGATAACCAGTCAGCTTCACTCAGTTCTGTTCGGTTAGGGGGACTTCAGTACCCCCTCCCAGGACAAGCTGGTGGATTGCCTTTTCCTTCAGCTGCTTCACATTCAAATATGAATGATGATCCACTGGGTCTGCCTGATGTAGGTGGACAGCACTCCCCTGCTGTAGATTTGGCAAAGGTAGAGAGCTCTTTAGATGGTGAGCTGCCCCTTCTTATACAGGATCTGCTGGAGCATGAGAAGAAAGAACTACAGAAGCAGCAGCAACAACAACAACAACAGCAGCAGCAACAACAACAACAACAACAACAGCAGCAGCAGCAGCAGCAACAACAACAACAACAACAGCAGCAGCAGCAGCAGCAGCATCTCAGCTCCCTCCACCAGGGAGGCATGGCGCCTCATTTTCCTGGCATCTCAAGTCAACAACAGCCGCACCCTCAGACTCCGGGCCAGATAATGCTGCCACACCACCATCGTCCACCACCACAGGGAATGATGGCTCAGCCAGGGATGGTACCCCGTGCCCCGCACATGATGCAGCAACAACAACAACAACAACAACAGCAGCAGCAGCAGCAGCAGCAGCAGCAGCAGCAAAGACTTATGGGAGCTGGAATAGCCCCTCCCATGATCATGGCCCAGCAGCAAGCCATGGTGAGGATGGGGCAGCCGGGGATCCACCCGGGTGTCGGTCATCAACCGCAGCCGCAGCCTGGGGTTAAACTGCCTCTGGCCAACAACTTCTTCCCAGATAAAGGTAAGCTCAAAGCCTTATGACATAATGCAGCAATGGACATGGCCTTAATAATTATTTGAATAGTTCACGTTATATTGACATACATGATTTTTGACAAGAATGTCACCAACATTTTTACCAATAAGATGCCAAAATAAACTGAAGGGTCTTCCCTCCCATACATTTTTTTTTTAATTGCACAGACATTGAACACTGTTTTTTTTATTTAGCATTTTGTTTTTAATTTGTTTCTAAAAGATTTACTTGCTAGATGTACTTACTATACGATCATTTCATCATGCTTAGTGGCATAAAAGGGCTAAAATCACATTAACATCGTTCATCTGAATTATTTCTGGGATCAAATATCTTCCATCCATGTCACTGTATCATCAGACCTTTTTCCTATTTTATTGCAGATTTGGACAAATTTGCTACCGATGACATCATGGATCCAATTGCCAAGGCAAAGATGGTGGCCCTTAAGGGTATCAAGAGAGTGTTGGCACAGGATCCAATGGCTGTTCCCCCTGGCATTAACAGGTATTTTTTTTAACTTTAATTTGTTCGGTAGATTTTTGGGGGGCCTTACGTTTGATTCTGTTTGATTTTAATAAACAATTTTAAGTTGATTTTGAATAAAAACAAACATTTAAATGAAAAAGACAGAAATGTGTAAAAAAAAAAAAAAAAATCTTCAATATTGAAAGATTACTAGTTTGAGTAGGATGTCCCGTGTTGTGCGAGTGACTATCCCTGTAGAAGAGTTGCAGATAAAGCATGTTGTTTTATCTTAAAACTGTTCTCCACTCCTAATTTTAAAAGAGAGTGAATTGGTATGTAGCAGTATCAAAGTTTAACTGTCCTATCTTATTCAATATAACAAAACACTCATGGTGATGAAAACATCTTGATAATTTTAACGGTTTCGATCAATGATTTGGAAACAACTTTCCATCCCAGACAATTGTTTGGTATGTTGCAGTTATAGTTGTATGTTTTATGTTTTGATTCCTCTTCAGGCAACAAGTGTCTCTGCTTGCTCAGAGGCTGTCCTCTGCCCCCGGCACAGATCCAAATCAGCCTACACTTGTACCTCCAAAGGTATGCTGTCAGGCTTGTCAAAATGTATTGATTAACTTTTATTTTCACTCTTATGTAGCTTAATAAATGTTTGTTTGTGTTTAGGAGGGAGAAACAAGTGATCCTACCGTGTCGAGACCTAACCCGCCTCAGTTTGTGCAAGGAATCATCAGTACGTTCTACCCTTACTGCCGATAAAAATACATTTAATAATTTGAAAAAGGTTATATTGCCGTTTCCTCTTTTGTGGTTGTCTTAACTTAATCTTTCTGTTACAGATGATGCAGAACAGCACCAATATGAAGAATGGCTTCTGCACACCCAGCAGTTACTCCAAATGCAGTTAAAATTCTTGGAGGAACAGATTGGAGTTCACCGCAAATCACGCAAAGCACTGTGTGCTAAGCAACGCACTGCTAAGAAAGCTGGCAGGGAGTTTGCTGAGGCAGATGCAGAGAAACTAAAGTTGGTAACAGAAGAGCAGAGCAAAATTCAAAAACAGCTTGACCAGGTGTGTAGATTTTATATTAACAGTTTATGTATAAGTATAAAAAGGCGTCCACAGAAACGGCACATGGCATCTAGATTTGCAAAATGATATATGTTCATAATTGTTCCAGGTACGCAAGCAGCAGAAGGAGCACACCAATCTCATTGCAGAGTACAGAAGCAAACAGCAGCAGCATCAACAAAGCTCAGGTATTCTTACCCCAGGTCATTCTGCACAGGCGGCCCCTCCTCACATGTTTCCCAAGATGCCTGGCCAGATGATGATTGGCCAACAGGGAACACCAGTAATGGGCCAACACCCTGGTGTGATGCCCCAAGGTGGAATGCCTGTCAGGATGCCTCAGGGGCAGCCTTTTGTTGGTGGAGCCCAACCCCAGCTTCCTGCAGCCATGGGAGCCAGCGTTGCCAGGGCCCCTGGTCCACCTGGTGCTCCAACAGGATTCTTCCCACAGGGGCCTGGAATTCAAGGTGCAGACCCCAGGCTTCTCCAAGAAAGACAGCTTCAACATAGGATGCAAATGGCAAAGCTCCAGCAGCAACAGCAGCAACAACAGGTGATGATGGGGCAGCAACCGATGCCACACCCAAATCAACCGCCTGGCTTAGTCCCCCAGCCACCGCCCGGCATGATGGGGAACCCACTTATGGCCCAACAGCAAGCAAACCCTCAACAGGGAATGCTAGTCAACCAGGCCAATCAGCAGAGTATGGTGCATGTCCCACAAGGAATGGTTGGAGGCCAGTCTGTGGCTCCACTTCCACAGAACCTCGCAGGAGGCCAGCCTATGAACCATGCTCAAGCCATGATGGCAGTTCAACCAGGGATTATGGGAAACCCCACTGTTGCACCATCACAGCAACAGAGGCCTCAGCTGGTGGTGGGTCAGCAGGGAATGGTTGGTTCTCCGGGTCATCCTGTGCTCAGGGGTCCCCAGACCCAATTGACTCCACAACAACAGAGCATACTGGCCCAACGCATGGCTGCATCTCAGCAACAACAACAACAACAGCAGCAGCAGCAACATGTTGCAAAGAATATGGCACACCTTCAGCAGCAGCAGATGGCACAGCAAAGACAAACACAGTTGATCAGTCAGTCCAGCCAAGAGCAAGGAGTTCTCTCCCAACCCTCTACCCCACAGATGGGCTCCTCGCCTTCAGCAGGAAGTATCACACCCCAGCCACAAGCAGCTACTGATAACCAAAACTCAGGCCCCAAAGAGGGTGGGATCCTCAGCCCTGATTCAAGAACGCCACCACAGCATAGTGGACCCTCAACACCCAATCAGATGTCCCACCTAGGCTCTGCAAATGATCATCAGAATGACTTGGGACGACAGCAGTTACAACAGCAGCAGCAGCAACAGCAGCAACAGCAACAGCAGCAACAGCAGCAACAGCAGCAACAGCAGCAACAGCAACAGCAACAGCAGCAGCAGCAGCAGCAGCAAAACCAGATGTATATGGCTCAGCAGCAACAATTAAATCCCCAGTCTGCCCCTGAGCAACAAACAGGCTTGGTTGAAAATCAACAAGCTGTTGTGCTTCAGCAACATCAGCAACAACATCCTCTCACTCTCCAGAGGCAAGGGTCCCTCGGTGTTGACAAGCCTATGATGATGACCATAAAGGAGGAAGTCAAACCAATTGAATTCTTGGCTCATCAGCAACAACAGCAAGCAGGTCAAAATGCCATGCAGCAATCACAAGACCCCAACCTCCAGCAGCAGATCATAGGCCAGAACCATCCTGGCCAGCCACAGCCTGTTGTGATGGGTCATAATCCACAACAACAACAACAACAACAACAACAAGCCCTCATGGCCCAGCAGCAAAAGCAACAGGCCATGATGGGCATGATGAGAGCCCAGCAGCAAGGGATGATAGCGCAGAGGCCTGTGGGTCCACCTGGACAGATCCGCACCCCATCAACATCCAGGCCATAATTGCTCAGAATCCCCAGCTTCGTAATCTTCCTCCAAACCAGCAGATTCAGCACATCCAGGCCATGATTGCCCAGAGGCAGCTCCAACAGGGACAGATGTTGCGGATGTCCATGGGACAAGGTCAGTTAAGGCCTAACATGCCACAGGGACAGATGCCACAGGGACAGATGCCACAGGTTGTGCAGCAGATGCCATATGGAGCCATGGGGAAACCAGGAGCAGTGGGCCCTCAGCAACAACCGGGCATGGTGGGTCAACAACCTGCTGTGGCTCCCCAAATGCAGCAAGGGATGATGGTCCCCGGGCAACAACAGCAACAGGTGGGAGAGATGATGCAGCAACATATGATGAGAGGCCAGGTGCCAGTGCCGCCTTCCCCATTGGACCAGGGCCGTATGGTAAGACCAACATCTCCACGTCAGCCAATAGCCAACTCTCCTGGGCATCCATTTAATCCAGCTATGGGGATGCGTCCACCCACTCCCAACCAGAACCAACAAGCAATGATGGCAGCTGCAGCAGGCCGCATGCCGGGTTCTCCATCCCATGCATACTCACCTAGAGGGCCCTTCGGCATGAGCCCAGCCCACCCGGCCTCACCTCACTCATCGCATGTTTCCTCACCTTCTATAGCTGACAGTAGGGCTGGAAGGGGGAGTCCGTACAGCCACGTCAAGGCATCTCCACTCAGGTCACCTGGAGCCAAGAGTCCACTCGATTGTCCAGGAATGAAAATGGAAGCTCAGATATCAGGCAATGAAATGTCTCACCCAGGCTCAGTTATTCCCAACGGTCCACAGAAAGTCATGAATATTCAGCAACATGTGCAGCAGGTCTCAGAGAGCCACGGTCCTCACACACAACATGGCTCTAGAGTAGGAGAGATATACAAGATGACCCTACAGAACATTAAACAGGAGCCAAGGGAGTTTCATTGTGATGGTGCGCCAGAGGCTCATTCTGGGGCTATAAAGAGAGAGGCAACGGGGGAGGCAGTTACTTCTGCTAACAACACCTGCTTCATCAATGCTGGAGATCCTGGGAGTCAAGGCCCTCGCCCTGAAACTGGACAGCAACTACTTCAGAAACTCCTGAGAACCAAGAACCTTCAGCTTGGTGCCCAAAGGCCCTCTGAAGGAATCCACAATGAAATAAATGGCCACATTAACAGTAAACTAGCAATGCTGGAGCAAAAACTTCAAGGAACTCCACGAAATATGGAGGTATGTTTTTCTTGAATGCTTTCTTTTTTGCATAATGTTTTTGGTGGGGAAAGAATCTCTCATTCCTTTTTTATTTATCTTACAGGATTTACAGTCTATAACCAAAAGGTCTCCGGTACAAAAGCCAAAGCGCAGTAACAAGGCAGCTGGAGACCGAGGCCCTAATGCACGGAAGAAGAATAAGAAGGAAGAAGTTGGAAAAAGTGCTGAAGCCCTGTTAAAGCAACTCAAACAGGTAAAGAGATAGCTAAATTAAGTTTCATGAAATGTTTCAAGTGGTTCATCCTTGTGTAAACTAACCGATTCACCCTTCAGGGTCTCTCTCTACTGCCCCTGATGGAGCCTTCAATCACTGCCAGCCTGGATCTGTTTGCCCCTTTCGGAAGCAGCCCAGCCAACGGCAAAGCCCAGCTCAAAGGATCCTTTGGAAATGCAGTGCTGGACAATATCCCCGACTATTATTCACAGTTACTCACAAAGGTAAAACAAAACATGTAATGGTTAGCTGTTGCAGGCTGCGCCAACATTTGCTTGCTGATTTGCTAGTAGGACAGCATATATTATTATACTATATATATATTTTCTTTTTTATAAATACTCTTTATTGAGTTTCACACATTTAACACAAAATACAGAACAATACACAACACCCCCCACCCCCCCCACAGACAGCCACACAGCACATCCACAATTTGACAACAATTGAATAATACTAATAATCCTCATTTACATAATCACAATAATATAGATAGACCACAAAGGATAAATAAAATATGTGTATACACACGCATATACATACACCTCATGCTGGAATACTATACTATATTTTTGTTATCGACAACACATCCGATAATTTTTTTGTTTTATCGTTGCACCTCTAATTAAAGCAATTTAAAGGATAGAAACTTTAAAAACAAAGTTGTTTTACAATGAAACTGTTGTTTGCCTTTACAGAGTAACCTTAGCAACCCCCCAACACCTCCATCCTCGTTGCCACCTACTCCTCCGCCTTCAGTCCAGCACAAGCTGCTGAATGGAGTGACTTCTGGGGAGGAGCTGTCTGAGGGTCAGAAAGACACCGAGACAGCAGAAGAGCCAATGGGTAAACAATGAAGGATTTGGCATGAATGAATGTTTTTCATGAATATACAATTTGAGTTTGTTGTGCAGAAATAGGGTTCTAAATACTTTATATTTTCCCTGCAGATTCTGTGAAAGAGGAGGTGAAGAGTGTAGACATCCTAGCAGCTCTCCCCACCCCACCACACAACCAGAATGAGGACATCAGGTACCACAGGAGAAGTCTGATGTCAGCTTGAATACGTGGATTTCTTGTTGCTGAATGGCTTTTAATGTAGGAAATGTCTCTCTTACAGGATGGAGAGTGATGATGAGGACGCTCCAGAAAGCATCATTCCGGCATCTTCCCCTGAGAGTAACGTAGGAGATGAAACGCCACGTTTCCCTCAACTACGGGAGCCCAAAGAGGAGGAGACGGAGAGAGCAATATCCCCAATCATCCCCCTCATACCTCGCACTGCCATCCCAGGTATTACACAACATTCTGGACGTTTTACGTATATATGTATCTAATATCAAACTTTTATATAACTTAAATGCTAGCTTTTATGCAAACTGCATATACAAATAATGTACTCATTTTCTTTTGTAGCATTCCCTGAAAACAAACCATTTGAAGCATCCGATAGCAAGGTAGTTTCCACCACCAACAATTGGGACAAGGCCAAAAACAACGAAGTGGCCGTCACCTTCACCCTGTCCTCTGCTGCAGCCAAGGTACAAAGCTATGATATCTTTGACTCTGTTTAACCTTTCTCTATTTTCAAGCAGTTAACACAAATTTGAACTGACTTTTTTCCAGAAACTGAACCACGTCATGTTGGCCATGGCCCAGCTGCTTAATATACGGATGCCAGGTTCTTATGAGGTGACGTTCCCAACCCAAAACCCTGACATGTCTGGAGTGGAGGGGCCTGGAAAAGGACCCGAGCAGTCGGGTATGAATTTAGAGATTACTGTTCATGTTGTCTCATTGGGTTCAGACGATCACGATAACATACTGTGAGTGTGGCTCATACAAGTGGAAATCTCCGGTTTTGAAAAGTGAAGCTAATGCTGGAAGGGCCCTAAACTTGTATTCTTTCTAATGGCCAGCAAGGGGCGACCTAACTTAACTTATTGTTTATCTACAACCTGTAAGTGTATTAAACCATAAATAAAGATTAATAATGAGATGGTCATGTTTTCCAGGGGCTTTGTGTACAAAGGACGGGGCTTCACTCAGTCAGGATGAGTGGCTAAGGCAATTTGACGTGTCTCTACCAGGCTGTACGTTGAAGAAACAAGTGGACATTCTGGCTCTCATAAAACAGGTACGTCATCACAGTCTTAAAGGTCCCATGTCATGGCCATTTCTACTGATCATAATTCCATTGTTGAGGTATACTAGAATAGATTTATATTGTGCAATTTTCCGCACCCCCAAACGCGGCGCACCTACAGTGTAAGCGCGCCACAGTTTCCCCGCTGCGAGGCTCCACTAGCACACACCCCCCCCCAGCATGTCACAGTTTCGCCGCTGAGAGAGTGTGTGTGTGTGAGGAGCTCCACGGATTGGATTTGGGTATGGGCACGTCACTGTACCCAGGAAGAAAACAATGGAAAAAGAGAAATCTCCAACGAGGCGTTCTGGGGCAGCATAGACAGGTCTTTTCTGTGTTAGAGTTTTACTCGCTACAGGGTGTACTTTGAGGGTTTGTGACTTTGCAGACCGTTTACATGCAGAAAAAGCTACATAACCAGGGGTGCACATAACTGGTACGCAGATACGCATGCGCGGCAACAATCTGAAATGCGTACAGTCACTTGTGTCACAAAGCGCATTTGTGTACCGACGTACTTGTGAAGCTTTTCCAGAAGGCGGTTAGATCACCGGACGACAGAGTCGGTCTCCGTGTGCACAGACAGGGCTGCTGTTAACGTCGGTCTGTCCAGCAGCACTGCGCTAAAACAGCTGATCACAACGTTCACACGCTCTGTATTCCACTACCACCCCCCCCCCCTCCCGTTGACATTCGCGATACAGAGGGCTTCATGGGAACTTTGAGGGGAGCCAGAAGTTGGAGTACCAAACACTGACTCCAGGTACTCATCTGAGTACCTCACTGAGAAAGTTGTGTGCACCCCTGTACATAACACACAAGGTGATGGGTAATAACCGGAAAAGCATGACATGGGACCTTTAAGAACTGTGTGAAATATTGATTTGATGTAATACAATCAAATGCAGCATACGGTATATTCCCTGAAAAGTGTTAACTTCATATGTGCATTTTTCTCTCAGGAGTTCCCAGACGGAGAAGACAAACCGGCTCTGCACTGTTACACCACCAAAGTCTCTGACTTAGATGTTCGCCACCTTCCGGCTATTCCAGTGGAAGAATCTCCCCCTCCATCGCCTTCCCCTCCATCGCCTTCCCCTCCACATCCTCCTCCATCGGTCCCAGCTCCCACTTGTGAAGCCGAACCCTCCAACAAATCAGCTTCTCCATCTCCTCCTTCCTCCAGTCCTACCCTTCAGATCAAGATCAAGACTGAGCCTGAACCTGAACTGGGTGATGGTCCTCCTATTGATGCTGCTCAACCAACTGATGTCACAGAGTCTGGTGTTGCCCCTCCAGAGTCTCAGAAGGCTGCACCACAGTCGGAAGATAACACACCAGAGTCTAAAGATCTTGCAACACAGTCTAAAGATGCTGCTGCAGTGTCTGAGGTTGCTGCTCCAGAATCTGAAGTTGCTGTTCCAGGATCTGAGATTGCTGTTCCAGGATCTGAGGTTGCTGCTCCAGAGTCAGCCTGTGATCCAGCATCTGCCTCTGAAGCTCCAGTTCCTACTGATCTTACTCCTTCTGAAGATCGTCTGAGTCTTGCTATCAAGGAGGAGAACTTGGCCACTGATCTTGATCAACCAACTAAAGATTCGGCACACATCATGGAGTCTTCCCCAAAGGCTATCAAGCAGCGCAGGCCGCTCTCCCCTGATGAGGTGATACATCCCAAACAGAAGAAATGGAAGGGGATTCGCTGGAAGCGCCTTCAGATTGTCATCACGATACGTAAGGGTGGGTCTAAGAAAGAGAGCAGCCGCGAGGTGTCGGAGCTAATGGAACGCCTTCGCATTACTCTACGACCAGACAAACTTCCTCGAGATAAACGTAAATGCTGCTTCTGCCACGAGGAAGCTGACGGAGCCACAGATGGGCCGGGCCGGTTGCTCAACATTGATGTGGACTTGTGGGTGCACCTCAACTGTGCCCTGTGGTCCACAGAGGTGTATGAGACGCAGGGCGGGGCCCTTATCAATGTGGAGGTAGCCCTGCGTCGCGGATTGCGGACTCTTTGCGCATACTGCCAGAAAACAGGGGCCACAAACGGCTGCAACAGAATGCGCTGCCCGAATGTTTACCACTTCGCCTGCGCCATTAGGGCACGCTGCATGTTTTTCAAGGACAAGACCATGTTGTGCACCCAGCACAAGCTGAAGGGCCCCAGTGAAGATGAACTCGGCATGTTTGCTGTTTTACGGCGTGTGTACATTGAGCGTGACGAGGTGAAGCAGATTGCCAGCATCTTACAGCGGGGTGACCGTATCCACCTTTTCCGTGTGGGTGGTCTCATCTTCCATGCTGTTGGCCAGTTGCTACCATCCCAGATGGCCAACTTCCATTCGTCCACTGCCATCTTCCCTGTTGGCTATGAGGCCACACGCATCTACTGGAGCACACGTGTGCCCAACAAGCGCTGCCGCTACCGCTGCCGCATCAACGAGGACGATGGTCGCCCTCTGTTCGAGGTGCGTGTTCTGGAGCAAGGCATGGAGGATCTGCAGTACCGGGACACTACTCCAGAAGGTAAAGACTCCTGAAATGCTTTCACTTGCTTTCAAGTTGCATTGTGAATCTGTTATACTTGTCCTCTTGATATGAAAGTGTTTAATTCGCCTCTCTTGTCTTTAGGGATCTGGGAGCGGGTGGTTCAGCAGGTTGCTAAACTCCGAGATGACTCGGCCATGTTGAAGCTGTTCACTGAGCATGTCAAGGGAGAGGAGATGTATGGCCTCACAATTCATGCTGTCATGCGTATCACTGAGTCGGTAAGGAAATGTGTCAGGAAACAGTATCAGTATCACAGTTAATTGGTCTTTGTCTCCCAGTTGTAATTCAAGCACTTAGAAAACCAATATCCACACACACTAGGGGTTGTCATCTCCTTATATAGTAAACTTGTGAACAGATGACAAAAAACAAACAACTTTAAAGTGTACCTGCCAAATCAGTAGAGTATTGGATCTGTAGATCAAAGTGCATGGTTAACATGATGTGTGTTTGTTGTGTTTCAGTTGCCTGGAGTGGAGAATTGCCAGAACTACCAGTTTCGATACGGCCGTCACCCTCTGATGGAGCTCCCTCTCATGATCAATCCCTCTGGCTCTGCTCGCTCTGAGGCCAAAGTCCCCACACAGATCAAGAGGTAAAGCAGCATCATTTTAACAATTAGCCAAAACGGGTTTACAAAAAACTCTGCTGTACACATGTTCTGGTAGACATAACATAACTGACAAAGTAAAACCTGTGTGATAATGCTAAAACTGTTTATTATTTAAGTTCTATAAAATGTGTACTCCAACTGGCAACATTCACAAAACTAATTGGCTTAAATCAAGTAGTTTGACGTGACTTTCAATGTTAGATAAAAGGAATTGCAGCTCATTTAGAAACCAAGGCACAGCATTTGAAACTAATAATTTGTTGTACTATTGCTGTAGACATTTTATTTACAAAGAACCACACATTTCCAAATATATCTTAGAAATGTCTGCATACCCACTCGCATGTTCTTCTCTGTTTGTCTGAAGGCCTCACACTCTAAACAGCACCAGCGTGTCGAAGGCCTACCAGAGCACCTTCACTGGAGAGCTCAACACACCGTACAGCAAGCAGTTCGTCCACTCCAAGTCGTCCCAGTATCGACGGCTGAAGACTGAGTGGAAGAACAACGTGTATCTGGCACGGTCGCGCATCCAGGGCCTGGGGCTGTACGCTTCCAAAGATCTGGAGAAGCACACGATGGTCATCGAGTACATCGGAACCGTCATACGCAACGAAGTGGCCAATCGGCGGGAGAAGATCTACGAGGAGCAGGTACGCCAATTTAGCAATAGCACTTAAATGCAAAGCACTCAGTAATTCAAGGAATGCACAAAAAGGGAAAAATAGTTTGGAGGTGCGGAAATAATGAATTGGATGCGATCCAGATTTATTCTACAGCTGCAAAAGCCTTCAGTAGCTTCAAGAAAAAGTGTTTAAACGTTTTCTGTTTTTTTTTCTCCCAACTTAGAACCGTGGGATCTACATGTTCCGCATCAACAACGAGCAGGTGATTGATGCCACTCTGACAGGAGGTCCAGCTCGGTAAGTGTTGATTTGCGATTGGCTTCCTCATTTTAAACCATAGCGTCAAGAAGGTTTTTTTTTAAACTGCCGTTTATCTCTTTTCCAGGTACGCCAACCATTCCTGCGCCCCAAACTGTGTTGCAGAGGTGGTCACATTTGACAGAGAAGACAAGATTATCATCATTTCCAGCCGCAGGATCCCCAAAGGGGAAGAGGTACGGTGCATTAGATAACTAACCCCTACAGACTTCTACACATCCATTTGATACTACCGCCTATTGCATGTTTTTGCAGACATTAACTGCCTCCATTTCTTATTTCCAGCTGACCTATGACTACCAGTTTGACTTCGAGGACGATCAGCACAAGATCCCTTGCCATTGTGGAGCCTGGAATTGCCGAAAGTGGATGAACTAACCAGAAGAAAGAAAAATGGAGAATTCCCCTCTCACTGGTGCCAGAACACTCCTGCGCCAAAGCCTTTGAATCCTACATAGCCAGTGCATAAGCTGTTTTGAGAGATGTGGAGGAAGGCCGGCCTCCATCACTGAGAGACTAAAGCGTTGACACCTGTAGCCAAAGGTTTGAAGAGCATTAATCAATAAAAGCAACCGACCTCCTCCATCAACAGCAGCTTGATGGTGGGACTTACTTTCATGTTTGGACTAGTGAATCACCTTTTCCTCAGCCAAAACCCTTTCCCCCCCCCCCCCTCGACTGTTCTTAATACTCTTTACAGTGGCTGGAATACAATCCTCAACATCTACCAAATGATTCTGACCCTCTGGTATCAATACTCGTAGTGGAGAGCTCAGCTGGAGCTTCGACAAAAAGCCATTTTAAAATACTAAGAATGAACTAATGATGCATTTTTATGTTTTAAGTCGGACCTATTTCCTGTCCCACCTGACCACACCTCCCCCCCCTCATCTCCCAGAAAAAGGCACTTTCCCCATCAAGTCACCAAGACAACACGGATATTGGCTAGCTAGACAATCTTGATGTGGCTCTGTGTAAGAACTACATATGATCGATGGAAAAAAAAAAGATGAAAGTTAATATAAAATTTGAGATGCTATTGATCTGTGGCTCCAGTGGCACCAGATGTTCTGACTGTGTGGAGTCCCATGGTGGGTTAGTTGGACCCAGTCTACCTCATTGATTTATCGGGAAGCGACTGCTTTGTATAAAAACTGTTAACTGCTACTGTGGAACGGGGGGGGGGAAAGGGGGAATGTTTTTATGGGCCTTCTCGGACAAGCAGGGAATCTTAAGCAGCAGGTTTGCTCTATCTACTCTATGCTGATGATGATTTACAATAATGAGCCAACATAATTATTATTCATGAATTGTTTATACAGAGGAAATATATGACAGTTTTGATAAGATATTGCATTAAAAATCACAATCAGAAGCTTAGCGGGTGTCCTGTATGCCACCAAATCCTCCTGGATGTAGCTTTTTCTTTTCTTTTTTGTTCTTTCTATTTATGCGTCTCAGAAAACCATGTTATGAGCTGTGTGAAAGCACAATAATATCCACCTTTTTTAAGTTGCTGAAAGACAGTAATGGTGTGAGTGAATGGCTCTAGGATCATGGGATAAGCAGTCTTTGAAGAAGACTACGATGTCTGAAATTAACCAATTACACATTTGCTTGTTGCTTCATACATTGAATTTCCACTTGATGAAAAACCAGCTGGTGGATGCATGACTACTGTCCCATGAAATGCTTTTTATTCTCCCCAATCTTTTCACAACTCAACCTTGAACTTTGAATCATGCCTCTTCCTCTCTGTATGATTTAGTGGACTGTTGTTAAACTTGACTGTAGTAAGTCTTCCTCTGCCTGAGTACAGCCTGCAGTGTTTCTACTTCCCCTGTAGTGTGCTGGTACTGTTCTCTTGAGGCTGAACTGACAGCAGGGAAAGACTTATTGAAAAAAAAGGGCATTTGTTTTCATTTCTATGTAAGATGAATGAAAAAGTCTTTAAAGGGAGCTTTACTAAAACTTCCTACCTTCCCATACTACTTTGTTTCCTCCTCCCCCTAACCTAAGACCTCACATGATTTTAAAATGCAAAGTTGTACAAACTGTATATATAGTATATGCATTAGGGGACAGCAACTCTTTATCAAACCCCTTTGTAATCAATAAAGTCAAAAGTGTAGAGAAATAAAATTGAAAAAAAATCAACCACTGGATATCATTTTAACAAAGATAAAGCTGTATATAAATATAAATATATGTAAAATGGCAAACTAATATCTTTATGTATATGAACCAGAGTGTTTTGCATTTACCTGTTTTTCTATTAGTGTTTTTGCTATAAGCTCTCAGAGACAAGTTTGTTAAAATAGGTTTGAGAATAATGTCTTCTCCAATCAATTGTGACGAGAAGCTGGTGTGAACTGTTTGGATTCATGTGGAGGTCGGTAATTAGACATGAAAATCCCTTCTTGCGTAAAGCAGTACAATGGTGCATAGCATTTGTATTTATGTAATATTGTTTGTGTTTATTTTCTTTTTATTTATGCTACTGCTTGTTGATTACCAAAACTTGTCCCTTAATCGGTCACAATTGGATTAATATACTCTTGAATGGAAAATCTTGAATCCCTAGAATATTGTTAGTGTTTCGCTTTTTTATATCTTCCCTATAGAAGTGAATGTGTTGGTAAACCTTGTGAAATGGTTACTTGGCCTAATGTATGTTATGATGTAATACTCAAAGTTAATCCCATACTTATTCTGGTAATGAATTGCACTCTCATAGTATAACGGAGAATTTCTCTAAAGTGGTAGATATTGATCAAGTATCCGAAGCAGTGATATATATATTTTTTGGTATGTTTCTATTTCAAGGGAAGACCATGATGAGACATTATGCCGCTCACTGGATTTTAGCCTGAATAATTTTTAACTTCTCTAAATCTTAATTTAAGTTCTCTGCATATCTTATAATTTAATAAAGTTTGCTCAAATTGAAGGTTTTTTTTAACCTCACCTACTTTTTAAAAAGACGTTGCATCTGTACAGCAGAGATACTTTTAGGGAATATGAATAAATCTAATGATCATTTTTATTGTATGTGGCATGTTTTGTATGGATATTATTTTGAATTGTACATATTTTTTTCAGGACGCCAGAGGTTGCATCTCTTTATATACAGCTGTCCCACTCCCCTTTCCCTTCATCTTATTTCTTTGTCAGCTTTTGTTTCTTGTAAAGGAAAATAAAATGCATTTTAAATATGTGCCATTCTTATTTTAATTAAGGACTCAAACGTCAATTACGATGAAGGAGCTTGATGGTTTATTCCTGAAATTATATGATATTATTATAGTGGACCTTTAGTCCTATGAAAGCAGGTGGTCAGTGAAACCATACATGAGATGCAGCTATAAGCTCTGGATAAAAAAAAATCAAGTGAACCATTAGTGGTGAATTTCGTCAAAGCACTGACATCTATTATAGCCTCTGGATTAAAACTGCTAGCTAAAAGGCCAGCTGAATAGAAACACAAATTAAATGTAACTAAAACTTGGCACAAACAGCATTAAGCTTGCCGATGATCTTTAAGCTGTCGCGCAATGCATTATGGGTGAAATAACACTTTACAGAAGAGGAAAACAATGGCCGTTGCAACCATAGATATATATAAACAATAAACGTGTTTATATATATATATCTATGGTTGCAACAGGGACACTTAGCGGCAGACTTTAGATTACAGTCTGCAACACAATGTAAAATTGTGCACTTTGAATCGCCACGTGCTGAAAAGTGCTATATAAATAAAATTGCCTTGCCTTGCCTTGCCTAAAATACCGTGCACTATTTAGTAGTTTTCTATCAACTGGACGGAAATAAAGAGAAAATAAAAGAAAAAAGGATAACAACATGGAGCCGAAACGACGTCCCGAAAATATATGGTACAAGAATAAAAATTGAAAGATAAACAGTTGAAATAGTTACATACATGCCAACCTTTCCAAATCCAAAAGAGGTAGGTTTGCGCGCGGCAAATGTGCACGCCCAAATTAGGTAATCAGAAGAAATGGAACCCCAGTAATTACATGTATAAACCATGTATTTAACATATATTGCATCATTTTATGCATTTTTCAGAAAAAGTGGTAGTTTGGTAAACAGTGACATCAACGACATGTTTGGTCTGTAAAATGCCCGAAAAGTAAAAGAATGGGATAAATATCCCAAAGTCTCCACATTTTATTATATTTTTAATGTGTTTCTGGTCCTCTTTCAGTTGCATTGTTGGAGAAGCCTGTGACATAAGATTTTCAACAACATAATTACTCTGTAGTTATGTTAGTTTGACAATAAAGAACCTTGAACCTTGACATTGTAGATCAGGGGTGCCCAACCTTTTTTGAACCGAGAGCTACTTTTAAAGTTGCCAGTCTGCCGAGATCTACCAGTCCAAATAGAGAGGCGCAGCCATTACTGACAGCCTACTACCAGGTAAATACACACTTCTACTTGTATAAAACTGACCTTTGTACGATTAATACTTCATAAAATACTGCAGATCCTTTATCTTACCTCTTTCTAATCTACACACATACAAGTATTTAACTGAAGCTACACAACAGTGTTGTTGATACATAGTTGGAGTTTATTCACACGTCACATACTACAGTGGGTAATGTTTTCAAGAAACATTGAACAGTGCTGCCACATATGACACAGGAAAAAAAGAAAAGACTCTGAACCCTTTCTTTGCCATTATATAAAAATAGTGTTGCTACAAAAGTATAAATTAGGCTTACTAATAAGACAACTCAGATCTGAAGCTACACAGGAATCTGCTGCCAAAGTGCAATAAAAAAGACACAATTAATAGAATCAAACCCTTTTTTTGTTGCATTTTAGTAGAGTATAAAAATAAATGCCTTTAATAGGATGCAAGCAACACTAGTTTCTTAACCTGAATTGATAATAGACTATAATCAATTTAAACAGAACAGATCTTAAAGTTTGCATTTTTATACAATCATTATAATGAATAAGTTCAAACAAACTAAAACGTACAGCTGATTAATAACGGTATCTAACTTGAGTTTTTATTATATCAAAAACCTGTTAAAATGCTACTGTTATTTTTACTGTCTCCAAAAAGCGCGTCGGCAGCCTCCAGGAATGCTTCTTTCACAACTTCGCCGTCTTTGACAGACTTCATGTGTTTCGCAAGAACGTGACTGACACGATAAGATGCTATGGTAGCAGCCTTGCTCTTGTTGTTGGGCCTGGTGAAAATGGACTGCTGTGCATTTAGCTGTCCTTTCAGGTCCCTCACCTTTTGGGAGCGTAGGGCAGAATTAGGAGGGAATTCCGTCTCGTAGCGTTTGTGCACTGTTTTGAAATGCCGCTCCTAAATTACCCTTCTTCGATAAAGCCACGCTCGCATTGCAGATGAGACAGATGGACTTTGAATTGGAATAGATACAAAAATAATCATCCTCCCACTCGGAGTGAAAATTATATATTTGGGGCTCTTTTGCTTCTGCCATAATTGTGGTCTTGTGTGTGCGGACTGCCCACCAGCCACGTCCCGATACATGGGGTCACGCCAATCACAAAGCTTTGATGCGTTCAAGTGCATTATTCTGGCACAGGAAGATTATGTTATAGGACATTAACGATAAAACAGAATATTGTTGTTCTATTTTTAGACACATCTCGCGATCGACTGAAACACAGAGGACTGTTTGTATGATGGGATCACAGACACGCTGCAAACGGTGTCCGCCAAAAGTCGAGTCCAGTGTCTATGTAGTGTCATTTTTATTTGTTATAGTTTGGGAAGATTGAAAATCGGTAGGGAGAGTCAGCTAAATCGGTAGGCGGTAGAAACATGTCAAAAGCGGTAGACTACCGCCCAAATCGGTAGGGTTGGCAGGTAGCTAAAAGTAAAGGATACACAGATAAAATATTAAGGTAGCTATAAATAATGGATAAGCTTACAGTCATGGAAACAAATATTGTAATAGTTATCTTAAAGTAGTTCAACAGTTGAAATAGTAAGATTAATATAAATGGATAAACAGTTGAAAAACGTAGTTTATAGTAATGGATAATAGTCTTAATAGTTAGCTAACGTAAGCTAAAGCTAATTGCGTTAGTAGAAATAGTTCTCGCTGCACGACATTTTGAATAAGCACCACAGTTGAAGACACATAAGAAAAAGAGGAATTTATTGTATATCATCTATATACACTTTTCAACATGTTCTGAAAAGATTTGCACAACATGAATTTTCTTTAAGAACAGGATGTCTGATGGTCATAATGGCAACGAACCAAACATGGAAGGTAGTGTTTTGACAATTTTGGTTCAACTGACAACAATGTCTCCGTTTTCTCTGCCAGCTCTTCTTCTCTGATCGTCATGCTGAACTTCCACCCATGTTAACAGTAGCAGCAACATGTCTGGGGTACATAGCCAACGACCCGAACAAAAAGGAAGAAAACAACAGGTAGGAAGAGGGATATTTTTTAAGTTCTACTCAGTGCAGAAGACCCAGTGTTTGAGACAGCATGCAACAATTGATTCTAACATGACACATGGATTCTGGATAAAGTGATGACACTACTAACATTAACTCAAGTCTATGTGGACATAACAGTGCAGAGCCCAACAGTGACAAATGTCAGTGTAATACTTTCATAGTTTTGTAGCAGACAGACAAGCTGCAGAAGTATAATGAAAACATGCAGTTACACTTAAGAGCATGTCAGTCTTTGAAGGTAAAACGTCTCAACTACTTTTCACATCTAACCGTATGTTCCCTGTGTGCGAACGCTCAGAAGCCTTGTTTATTTCTGAATAAATAGCCTTTGGCAGTATCAGAATTAAAGGTTACATGACACTCCTAAATATTCCAGTGTCAATGAGAAAGAGATGTCACCCCGGAGCACATTATGCAGAAACAGATCTGCATTAGTGAACTCCACAAGCAATTCCAACACTCGTACATACAAAAATAAAAACAGGTTGCAGCAAATTATCTGGGATCAGTAGTATCACCAAACTGCTATGAGAGGCAAGATAAAATTCCAGCAGATGAATGTCTATTTCCTGGCACAGTTAGGAACCATGCAGACGGATCACAACAAAAGAAAAAGTTGCATTCAAGCGAAATCAATGTTCAAATGTCACACTGGTGCTTCTGGCATAAAAAGGGGAAAAAAAAATGCATATTTTATATACAAATCATATGTACCTATTATCAGTAGTTTCTAATGTCAACGTCAAAAGAAAAACACCCATCATGATTTTTTTTTATACACAAAACTAAAAAATATTTAAAAACACAGCTCATGTTCACAATGTCTTCGCCTGTCACCAACAGGGGTTATGGCTACATCCATGTTAGCACTCAGTATCTTATTACAATGAATGCAACAACCCCTTAATCTAAGGTCTGAAAGATGGTCAAACCTGGACTGAACTACAACAGTAATTTTCATATCATATTAGATTCTGGCTTGTCACATCTCACAGTGTTCATTAATATGAAATAAAAAATATCCACAAATAAATAAAAAGTAAAACCATCCCAAACATTATCCCTGCCAAATTAACAACTGGACTGGACCACATCTGTTATGCGATACCTGCAGGTGTCACACAGTGTGGAAGCTACAGTAGAGTGCAACTCCTTTCTGTGGGATCAAAGAGCAAAAAAATTGCTTTTCATGCTTAATTACCAAATCTCCCATTACTGGATTTGTCTAACACGCTACAGCCTATACCAGAGGGCATCTTGGTGTCTTTGAAACATGCTACTAGTCCAGACACCATTACACACCACTAGAAACAGTGCTTTGGCGTCCTTCCCCCTTACACACACATTCACAGCAACACAATGTCACGATGCATTGCCGACAGAATAAGAAGTGTCATTATTCTTAAACTTAAAACATTCCCGGCTTTTGAGGACAAGGTAAGTCCATCATGGGACATATTTCAGAGGTAAAAAAGAACAAACAAAAATATCCCGTCACTGTACAATAGTAATAATTCCTGCCATGGGAAATGAAAACTAAAAAAAGTTTGGAGTGTGATGATATTAACAGTGGTAGTGCTGTGGCCCATGGAGTAGGGGCGGTAGAAGGGGAACAGGGAGGAGACACGAGGAACAAAAGGAGGCAGGGGGAGAGAAAAGTCAGAAGGGGAAGGATGACTCAGTAGTTTTGGCTAAAAAGGTGAGGTAGGCCTCGTCACAACTTG